AAAAGATAGAAGTTCTCATTCACGTGATTGGACAGTAGTTTTTGGTTGGATTTTATGACAAGGATAATAATAATCACAAAGACGATAGAAGTTTTCATTCGCGTGATCGGACCATATTTCTTTTGTCGGGGTTATGTAAATGAGGGTGATATAAATATATGACAAGAATAATAATAATCACAAAGACGATAGAAGTTCTCATTCACGTGATAGGACAGTAGTTTTTGGTTGGATTTTATGACAAGGATAATAATAATCATAAAGACGATAGAAGTTCTCATTCGCGTGATATGGCCATATTTTTTTGTCGGGGTTATGTAAATGAGGGTGATATAAATATATATGACAAAGATAATAATTATCACAAAAACGATAGAAGTTCTCATTCATGTGATAGGACCATATTTCTTTTGTCGGGGTTATGTAAATGAGGGTGATATAAATATATTACAAGAATAATAATAATCACAAAGAAGATAGAAGTTCTCATTCGCGTGATAGGACCATATTTCTTTTGTCGGAGTTATGTAAATGAGGGTGATATAAATATATGACAAGAATAATAATAATCACAAAGACGATAGAAGTTCTCATTCGTGTGATAGGACCATATTTCTTTTGCCGGCCGGGGTTATGTAAATGAGGGTGATGTAAAAATATTACAAAGATAATAATTATCACGAATGCGAGAGAACTTGTTATTCACGTGATAGGACATTAGTTTTGGGGTAGAGTATATGACAAGAATAATAATAATCACAAAGACGATAGAAGTTCTCATTCGTGTGATAGGACCATATTTCTTTTTGTCGGAGTTATGGAAATTAGGGGGATATAGATATATATGACAAAGATAATAATTATCACAAAAAGATAGAAGTTCTCATTCACGTGATTGGACAGTAGTTTTTGGTTGGATTTTATGACAAGGATAATAATAATCACAAAGACGATAGAAGTTTTCATTCGCGTGATCAGACCATATTTCTTTTGTCGGGGTTATGTAAATGAGGGTGATATAAATATATGACAAGAATAATAATAATCACAAAGACGATAGAAGTTCTCATTCACGTGATAGGACAGTAGTTTTTGGTTGGATTTTATGACAAGGATAATAATAATCATAAAGACGATAGAAGTTCTCATTCGCGTGATATGGCCATATTTTTTTGTCGGGGTTATGTAAATGAGGGTGATATAAATATATATGACAAAGATAATAATTATCACAAAAACGATAGAAGTTCTCATTCATGTGATAGGACCATATTTCTTTTGTCGGGGTTATGTAAATGAGGGTGATATAAATATATGACAAGAATAATAATAATCACAAAGAAGATAGAAGTTCTCATTCGCGTGATAGGACCATATTTCTTTTGTCGGAGTTATGTAAATGAGGGTGATATAAATATATGACAAGAATAATAATAATCACAAAGACGATAGAAGTTCTCATTCGTGTGATAGGACCATATTTCTTTTGCCGGCCGGGGTTATGTAAATGAGGGTGATGTAAAAATATTACAAAGATAATAATTATCACGAATGCGAGAGAACTTGTTATTCACGTGATAGGACATTAGTTTTGGGGTAGAGTATATGACAAGAATAATAATAATCACAAAGACGATAGAAGTTCTCATTCGTGTGATAGGACCATATTTCTTTTTGTCGGAGTTATGGAAATTAGGGGGATATAAATATATATGACAAAGATAATAATTATCACAAAAAGATAGAAGTTCTCATTCACGTGATTGGACAGTAGTTTTTGGTTGGATTTTATGACAAGGATAATAATAATCACAAAGACGATAGAAGTTTTCATTCGCGTGATCGGACCATATTTCTTTTGTCGGGGTTATGTAAATGAGGGTGATATAAATATATGACAAGAATAATAATAATCACAAAGACGATAGAAGTTCTCATTCACGTGATAGGACAGTAGTTTTTGGTTGGATTTTATGACAAGGATAATAATAATCATAAAGACGATAGAAGTTCTCATTCGCGTGATATGGCCATATTTTTTTGTCGGGGTTATGTAAATGAGGGTGATATAAATATATATGACAAAGATAATAATTATCACAAAAACGATAGAAGTTCTCATTCATGTGATAGGACCATATTTCTTTTGTCGGGGTTATGTAAATGAGGGTGATATAAATATATGACAAGAATAATAATAATCACAAAGACGATAGAAGTTCTCATTCACGTGATAGGACAGAAGTTTTTGGTTGGATTTTATGACAAGGATAATAATAATCATAAAGACGATAGAAGTTCTCATTCGCGTGATATGACCATATTTTTTTGTCGGGGTTATGTAAATGAGGGTGATATAAATATATATGACAAAGATAATAATTATCACAAAAACGATAGAAGTTCTCATTCATGTGATAGGACCATATTTCTTTTGTCGGGGTTATGTAAATGAGGGTGATATGACAAGAATAATAATAATCACAAAGAAGATAGAAGTTCTCATTCACGTGATAGGACTGTAGTTTTTGGTTGGATTTTATGACAAGGATAATACTAATCATAAAGACGATAGAAGTTCTCATTCGCGTTATAGGACCATATTTTTTTTGTCGGGGTTATGTAAATGAGGGTGATATAATTATATGACAAAGATAATAATTATCACAAAAACGATAGAAGTTCTCATTCACGCGATAAGACCATTGTTGGGGTGTATGTAAATGAGGATCATATAAATATATGACAAAGATAATAATAATCACAAAGACGATAGAAGTTTTCATTCACGTGATAGGACCATAGTTTTTTGATGGGGTTATAATGTAGATGAGGATGAAAGAAAACAAGTCAAACATGCAGTGCAGAGGAGCACAGGCGAAGAGAGGGAGATCGAGAGTGTGCGAGAGGAAGGGAAAGAGGGAACAAGAGAGAGAGAGAGTGACAGAGAGAGCCTGGGTCTATATTTCGGAGAGAGAGGGTCCATGTGGTGAAAATGATTTTTTTCGAAACTTCCAAGGGTATAATGAACATTACATCGAACTTCTGTAGGAAAGAGAGAGGGGGTGGGGGGGGGGGGACAGAGAGAGATAGAGAGAGAGAGCGGTATCTGGATAGACATATTTATTGTATTTCTTTCATGTTTATCTGAACGATTATGTGGTCATTCATTTTCAAATTGCTTTCTTTCTGATATTCTTTTCTGAATGCATTTCACGGACATAACACTTCATGTATCCCGTAGGCCTACTTGAAATTGTCTGTTATAAATGTATATCAAAAAGACTGATCAGTCGAAGCTGAGACTAGATTGAGACGGTTGCGGAGGAGGGTTTACGGGTACGTCATGGTCAAACTCACTCTGCATGCAAGGAGATTATAACTCCCTTGATTTGTGCGATACAATCCTGAACGGTACTTGCTCTCACACAAACGCACACAGATGCTGGTACCATGGAGCTATAAAAAAGAACATGGACCGAAGCCATTCGAATACAGTCGCTTCCCCGCCGTGGAGCGGGGTCAGCGCGGTGTCAAAATTGCTGTTTGTCTTCTGTCCATGCGGCTTGCGCCGGGCGGGGCGAACGTAAGACAGTGTTTCAATATCGATTATACCATGAACCATTTACAACAGTAGATGGCGCTAGTATACAACATCATGAGCCGGTTTAAATACAGGCAGCTTGGAACTAATAATTGATTTATTAATTACTGTTTAATTCACTAAAAAAAAAAAAAAGTATTTCAGCGGTGGAGATTGGTTAAAGATATTCCTATTGCATCTTGTTATAACATCAAAGAGTTTCAGATGAATTAAATATTTTTACCAAAACTTTGTAATACCTTTAAAGCCCCTTGAAGTGTTGGGAGCCCCCAAAATGGTATGGCAAAATTTCATTTTAAATTATATCATAATGTGAAAGAGGATGTTATCTAAGACACATTCCTGCAAAGATATTCAAAACAATTGTGTTTGAGTCGAATATTGATGAAAGAATACAAAATTTAGGTTTTCTGAGTACAACAGAAAACCCAAATTATGTACTCTTTTATCAACATTTGTCTTCACACACATTTTTTGGGAAAGTCCTTGTTAAATGATATCCTCTTCCAAATTATGATTAAATTTCAGTGAAATTTTGTCACAAATTTTTGGGGCTCCCAACACTTTAGAGGGGCTTTTTAGTATTATTCACATTTTATCCACCCAATTCACAAAAATGCAGAAAAAAGCTGTATTTTATTAACAGGGGCTTTTGGACTTCTTATGTGAAAGCTTGATAATAATCTAGTTTGGATGGAATGAGATGAAATACATCCAATGCATTATAAGTGCAAAGCAGTGTAATGTAATAATAATAACTTTTACTTATATAGCGCTTTTGATAAAACATTTATATCAAAGCGCTTGTATTGTATTGTATTGGATACAAAAGTCATAGATATTCTTGAAAAATGAATCAGTATTTGAATACATAATTTTTAGTAAGGAATAATATGATAGCCAGCACGTGCATGCTCACAGTATGGTGTAAGTAAGTTCTTCAAGTTCAATATTTGAGATCTTGTTTTGTGGCCATCGGCACACTGTTGCTTTGAATATTGTTGGCGCGTGCGGGGGCTATCAGTATTCCTGCCCTCCATTTACTCATTATAATAAATCTCAAACTACAAACAGTACGTATTCGTTCAATCTTTTTTATTTATTACCCAGGCAGAAGAGAAATGACCGGGGTAATAATATATTTGCAAAGCGCTTAGAGACATTTGTATTAAGCGCTATATAAAAATTAAATATTATTATTATTATTATTATTACTTGCTCCAACATTATGTTGACTTAATTGTTTTGTGCCTTTCTGACATCTGCTACTCAAAATATTTACAAGTATCTTGTCATCAAGGTTTACATATTTTAGGAGTACCAAAGTTGAAAAATCAAGTCACAAAGATTTGATATATTTTAAAGATAATATTTTGATTGCTCTATTTCTGTTCAGCAGGCCTACAGAGAAGATAGATGGAATGCCTTTAGATACCAACAAAGAAGTGAAAGGAAAAACACATGTCTACTATCAAGTGCTAATAGATTCAAGAGATTGCCCTTTCATTGTAAGTATTTCTTTTGTAAACTTATATACTGTACTGTGTAACATGAACTAAAACTTTACTTTCCATTACATTTTGACAAAAGCTGCATGAATCTTGTCTTACCCATCAATGTAAAATAAAGAAGATTTTGTTTCATGGAATTGTGAGTTGCCATAAAGACAGAATGTGAAATTCAAATCAATATTGAGACAAGTTGATAATGATGAGCTATTTGAAATGTAGACAATTGCTTGTTTCGTAGCAAATCAATTAAATTTTGGAACTACATATATTTTGAAGATATTATTTAATCACTGTTACCAAAAGACCAAAAGATGCTGAAAGAAATTGACAGAATGTCAATGTCGGGTCATTTTCTCTGACTTTATTTCAGTTTAATGCTAATTAACAATCATAAGTCTTTATTCATGATCATAAATTTTTGATTTACTCTATTGCTCATGATATTCATTTGACAGAGGGCACAAACAGAAGCAGTCACCTTTCTTGGTAACCAAGATAACAACAGATCTCTATATGCAATACCAGGTAAAGAGAAAATGTCATACTATCATAAAATCTTTCTCCAAATATACAATTTGAGATTCAACAAACTTTGAAACTGTACTTACATGTTTGGGGAAGTTTTGGGAAGATAATTGCAAAAGCCGGGGGGGGGGGGGGGTGTTATTAAAATAACAACGTATAATTTGGGGGTTATTTTTTTTAGGAAGGGATGAAGCCTTGCTTGTTGTATTTTATTGTTGATATTATTTGCATGCCAGCATCAATTTTTTTATTAGTAGCATTGTATTATGACATCAAAGAACCATTTGTCTACAGTGCCAGATAACGAATGATATCTTTGGTTGGATCCTTCTAAAAATCATCAGAAAAAACATGTTTTCCTTCTTCTTTATAACTGTTGTTATTTCTTCATAATTCTTCTTTATTTTATCTCTTTGATATCAGGTCTTGACTATGTAGCCCATGAAGATGTCTTACCATACTCCTCTTCTGGTGAAGCCAGTCCTATCAGTCATGAGCTCTTTGATAAATTCTTAGAATTCAATCCTGGCCAAGGTAAAAACATTATACCTTTCAGTATTTGAATTGATGATCGGATGAGGGAGGGGTGGAGAGGGGGGGGGGGGGGGGGGGGGGGGGAAGGGGGGCGTTGATGCAGAGATACAAACTAGTGAATTTGATTGGGCTATAGACCAAGGCCGGTATTCAATTCAATACTTAAATGATGGATAGATGGGTATTTTACTCAATTTTCAGCTTAGATAAATTCTCAGCCTACTTCAGTATTCAGTTGATGCTTTCAGTTAAGTATTTTACCCTAAGCTTATAACAGCTCTCTAGCAGACTAAAGCCAATTATTTGGATGCCTTGATTGGCAGGCATTTGGTTTGCATATGCCGTCAGTATAAGCTGCACACAATTTCTAGTGCACAGTTTTTAGCGCTTGTATAATGTGATGCGTTAATTGTGCATTACTTTTCATTGACCATATGATATAACGCCGGTTATCAAAATGTAGTTTGATTTAAAGTTGACTTGCTAAAGTAAAATGCTCAGATGTGATCTGAATACGAGTTAGGATATATTGTACTTAGCCAGCCAAATGCTAAGTAATATCTATATTACTAATACGCAAAATCGCCGCGGGGGGTCCAACACGGGCCAAAACGGTTCCTCAAAAACGTCTTTCCCCGACCCCGCCCGCCTCCGCCGTGGCGCGGGGAGGGCGGCACAATTCCACGAGGCCTGTCTCCCGTAACCCGCGTGCCACGTCGACCCCGCGATCGACGTCCACGCCGTTAAACGCGGTTTCGGGGCGGCCGGGGAGGACGGGCGGACGAGAGCACGGCGGGCGTCGCGGATTGCGAGGAGGCGACGAACCCGCGAGAGCGAGTCGGCAAGGCGTGCACCCGCCCTCTGTCTAATTATAAAAGAAAGACGAAGAGACACACGATGGACGAGAATCCACTCGCGTCAACGGGTGTAACAAGTCTCATTGTAAAGGCTGCGGCATATCCCGAGTAAGGCCTCTTGCTATAGGATTCGCTTTGTAGCATGTAAGAGAAATACACATTAACAGACGACTCACCCGGGTGATGGGATGTAGCCAATATGTACGCTCAACGGGTTGAGCGTACCCGTGTTATGCGTCTTTCTATAGGATATGCTTTGTAGCTAGGCCAGGCGCCCACAGTGTACGTGTATTACACGCTCTCAGGTCACACACATGCACACATCACAGTACAGTCGATTCGAGTCGAGGCGATTGCGACAACTGGCGCAAACCATGGACCTATTTTCACGTAAAATCTTTACTCTGAAAATAATTATACAAATTCTGTGATCTATGCCAACATAATCATAGTCCAAGCTTCTGTTTTATTGGTCTTTTCATGAAAACTCCATCGAAATCACAACAAGAATAGCGCAAACAGATCTGTGATAGTACGCCTTCACGTGACAGTTCAGTTGCAAACTGCCTTGAGTCCACAGTGTATTGCCACGGCAGCTGAGCGCTGCTGTCGGGGGTGCTGTCGGAGCTGAGTGTGTGAGCATGGAGTAGCCAGGTCTGTCCGTGGTGTGAGGAGAGTCTAAACAACACTTTGAAATTGCTATTATTGCCCCGATTTCAATATAGTTTCGTGAATAGATGTATGAAACCTGGGCTTGGATTGTGATTATTCTGGCCATGTATAGTTGTATACTGAATTTCGATAATCATTTTTCAAAGTAAAGTTTTCACAAGAAAATCAGACGGTCGTCATGGTCGTTTAAAAACATGATAATACTTTTAGTATGATACAGTTCTTGCATCAAATCAATTTTTAAAGTATGGGGGGGGGGGGGGTCAGGTAACTCAAAGCGATTTGAGTGCAGGCGTGGTGTCCACGGGTACAAAGGGCTGAACCCCCGAAAGCTCAGGGGTTTTAGGCATTTAATTACGGTCAGATGAGCATATTTTTAATGCCTTATTTGTGACACTGGCAGGTCGATCAATAATTGGCGTGGGGTCCATAGTAGAGTTGCGTACCAACTACGCTGAGCTGAGAGTACGCTGGCCTACGTTACTATACCCTGAGGGACGCAAAAAAGTATGCAAGATGGACGCAAACAATTTAATATGTTTAACAAAATTCGCGTACTTTCGGCGTAGAAACTGGACGCAGAAAGTACGCCTTTTTTTACGTAACACTACGCTACTTAACTAAACAAACTGCATCTTTAAATGAAATAATGAAAAATTAGCCCAAGAAAAAGGAGCTCCCGAAAGATAAAAAAAAGTAGCCCCCAAAAATTTTCCCAAAATTTGATATAGATCGAGTCCCCGAAAAAAAAAATCTTTCACTGGATTCTACGCTCACAGTCCCACACATACTCGAGTCAATTTGTGCACAAACCGTCTGATTTTTCGCGTAAAATCTTTACTTTGAAAATAATTATACACATTTTGTGAACAATGCCAACATAATCATAATCCAAGCCTCTGCATATGTAGTCTTTTCATGAAACTACATTGAAATCACAACAATAATAATGCAAATAAATAGTAATTATCGAGATCCTATCTGACATAGTTTGTTTTACGGTGCGCCATTCATGGTCAAACAGCATATATTATAAAAATTCTCTATATAAAGATAATCTAAATTTTTTTTGGATAGCACATAGGCCTCTATCTATCTATTTGGCCCCCTCCCCTAGAATCCCGTGGATTTTCCACGGGTCCTGCTAGTACTTGTTTAATCTGCATGCTGAATTGAGTACGGCCCCTGTGCATTGTTCACGGAGCAATCGTGAGTTCGCCGATAACTCATTGAAAGGCGTGTTAATTATAATACAGATATTTCAATAGACCATTTTGTGGAACACTGTCCGGTTCACAAGTTAAATAAATTGTATGCATACCTGAGGTTTGCTGCACATATCACCAACTCACATGCCACTGGAAATAATGATTTAATACAGGAGAATGTTTATTCCTTTCTACCGTCTCCAATATATTTGTAAAGTGGTCAGTAGTGATGGAAAGGGATGCTAATGCACTCTGACAGTTGTTAATAAGATCATCAGAATTCTTGTCATTAGAAGAAAACAAAATACAAATCCAATACTGCTCTGTCTGAACCATCTGATTGTACTACAGGTGTACATGTTTCTCTTCAGATTGATGCACAAGTAAGAAAATTGAGGAAACAAGCAGCTTCCAAAATATTTAATAATTCTTAATTGCTTCAGATATAAGACCATTTTGTAGTCTACTGCCTCGTTGACACTTGCCCGCATTTTGGTCCCGCACTGTCCCGCTCTATGGCGTGCCAATTTGTATGGCACGCAGTCCTTATAGGGTCATTTCTAATTTATGAATAGTTTACGCAATGCATAACCACCAAGACACGCATTGTCGCGTCATGTTTACGCTCAACTTAATCACTGTTTACGCATTGTCACGTCATATTTACACCAAACTTAAGAACAATTCACGCATTGGCACTCATTGTGACAATTGCTTCTAGTAGTCACTTTTTTTCTTCTTTTTGATCAGGAGACTTGTTTCAACTCATTCACATACTAGTTGGACAACATTGAAAATGTTGAATACCCAAGAAGCTGTTTCAGGGCAAAGAGAGTGTTTATATGTCGTGGCTGCAGGGCTTATTGGTCTTGAGCAGCATAAGAATCTTGAAAAAGAGCAGAAAAAGTGGGGTAGGAAAAGAAAAGCAAGGACGGGGTGGGTCAGAGAATGGTTGTTAAGACGCCATGTGTATGGACATTTTGACCAGTTATTGACCGAAGACCAGAAATAACCGTTTCTAGGAAGAATTGAACGTTATATTGTTCCCGAGAGCTCTGACTCACATTATGTCCATACTCTCTTTGTAAAGAGACTCTATTTCCACCCTTATGAGATAAATTATTAGTATTCGTCGGTCATTTGTTTCACCGTGCAGTGTGAAAGTAGGACTGTAGCAGGCCTTAAATTTCAGTATTTTTAGGGCAAAGCCACTTTTCTGTAGGGCACATTCCTATATTACAGAACAAATAGGAAGAATTGGAAAGGGCACACAAAATCTCCAAGGCCAATGAGAGGGGCATTGAGGCCAATCAAAGGGACATCCAAGGCCATGGCCTTGGTGGCCTTGGATTAATTTAAGCCCTGCTGTAGGAAGTTACTAAAAACTTACTTAAAGGTATTACAAAGTTTTGGTATGGGGTCATGAATTCAGTTCAAATTAAAATATTGGAAGCATATGCGTTCCTACAATATTCATTGATCGTTGTCGCGGTTAAAATCGAGTCTGAAGTTATGAAATGTTGTATAGCTCCCTCTCAAGGTCAAGATATTAATTTAGCTTTGAAATAATCTTTCTTGACTAAAATCGACCGATTAGCTATTCCCGTTTGGAAATTATATATCACAACTACATATTCTGAGATTTTCATGGTCGCAGCTACCATTGTAGGGCCATAGGCGCTATTTGAAATATATCAAAATTTATCAAACTTTACCGGTAAATTTTTATATTCAATTTTTCTCGAAAATAGAAGTGTTTTAGGGGCTATATCAAAATTGTAAAGATTCACTGTCCACCCAATTTTTTAAAATTTCCCAAAACTTTGTATTACCTTTAAAGGTACTATGTCCCATTTGCAGGCCCAAAAAATGAAGAGGTTAAATTCCAACGACATTTGAAAGATAATACTAATTTATAACTTCCCTAAAAAAAGGGGAGCTTGAAAATGTCTTTAAGTGGGAAAATAACGACCATTAGTTGTCGAATCGACTTAAAGGTAATACAAAGTTTTGGGAAATTTTGAAAATTGAGTGGATAATGATTCTTTATAATTTTGATATATTTGAATGCCCCTGTGGATGTAATATAAGCACTAGAAAATTTTGCCCCTAAAACACTTCTGCTTTCGAGAAATATTGAATATAAAAATTTACCGGTGCTCCCGGTAAATTTTGATAAATTTCAAATAGCCCCTACGGCCGTACAATGGTAGCTGCGACCATGAAAATCTCAGAATATGTAGTTGTGATATATAGCTTATCGGTCGATTTGAGTAAAGAAACATTGTTCTATAGCTTAATTAATATCTTGACCTTGAGAGGGAGCTATTCAAAGTAAAATGTTAATTATTTACAATTTCATAACTTTAGACTCGATTTCAACCGCGACAACGATCACTGAATATTGTAGGATCGCATATGCTTCCAATAAGTTCATTTGAACCACATTCATGACCCCATACCAAACTTTGCATTACCTTTAAGAACTATAGAGCCAGTAAGTCATAGTCTGATTTTCAGACCATTGTACCGCAAATCTCTGTGTATAAGGTGCACCTGTGTATAAGGCGCACCCCTATTTTGAAGACAAAAAAAAAAAAAAAAGGAAAACACAAGCAGGGAGGACTTTCATTTAACATCGAGGTGCAGTTGAAGGCGCCGATTTGTGCTTGTGAACTTGTCAAGAAGAATGTGTAAGATCATTAATGTAAATTAAAAACAGTAGAGTACCTAGGATAAAACCTTGTGGTACGCCAAGCAAAATTGGAGGAATTATTATTATAAACTACATATTGAGATTTATTAGAAAGATTACTTTCAAACCAAGATGACAGACAAATTTGAGTGTTGTTCTAGATTCCGAGTGGTGAGTCAACACACCGATTACTGAGCTGGGAGCGTTGCCAGGCATAGCGCCATAAATCGAAACTTTAAAAAAAAAAATTGTGTACCTGTGTATAAGACGCACCCCCGACTTTCAATTTTTTTTGGTAGCAAAAAAGTGCGCCTTATACACAGAGATTTACAGTATGTTATTACCAAAGAAGAAAAAGCCAGTCAGCCACTCAATAGTGTCTGACAGTGAAGTCTAGCAAGTAAACGGGTTTCCTTGCATAATTTGAATATTAGGACGCTGCTAATGTTTAAATTTCACAGATAGGACATACATGACATATTCATAATTCCTGCAAAGTTCTCCAGAATTTGATGTTGGCTGCAAAAGGGACATAGTATCTTTAAACAAGAGAGTTTGAAAAGGGTACATCTCACAATTTAATATATTCCCAGATTTTAGTAATTTAGTTTCAATTAATTGTAATTATGGGAAAGGGGCTGAATAATTGACATCTAAGTTACAAAAGCGACTTTGGAGAAAAACAATTTATTCTCAACAACGACGAACCTAAAAACACATGAATTGGGGAAAATCTGTTAAATCCCCAGACAAACATTTAAAAAACGTTGAATCATTTTAGAAAGGTATCCTGCTCATCAATGCTGTAAAGGTAGTTTACCATATACTGTTAAAAGTACATTTATTTAAGCAAATACAGGTGTCGAAGTCAGAAACTGTTCACAAGCTAAAAAAATGTAAGCATTGTCCTTTACATTATACTTTATAATTATGTGTTATCAATTAATTATTTTTAACGATAATGAGACATTTGGGGGCCTCATATTCCAAAAATTTGATCGCAAAATTTCACTTCAATTCTATAATGATGTGAACAAGGATGTCATAAAACATACACTTCTGCAGAGATTTACCCCTAAAATGTATTTGAAGCATATAGATGACAGGATACAAAGTTCTGGTTTTCTGTTGTAAGTGTATTTGAATTGAATTACATCCTCTTTCATATCATTATACAATTTAAGTGAAATTATGTCATCAAGATCACGTGTTCCACATGTAGACTATGCGCATGGCATACGAAAACTGCGCAGGAAGTATGCGAAGTCAATGCGCTAATTGTGATCAAATAAGTCGTTAACTAGTCGTGAACATGAGTGCCACTAGGCTGACGGACATGCATCAGCGCACACTGGCACGACTAGGTAACGCATAGTTCACAAAAGTTGCCAACAAAAATTGTGCCAAAATTTTGAACATTTTGAAAATTCTGTCAAGCATGTCACGCACGGCGTGCATGCTTCCGCACGATACCACGGATACTTCCTGCATTAACACGCAAGAGTATGTGTCTATGCGCAAACTATCCGCAAACCAAAATGCGGGCAAGTGTCAACGGGGCATATGTAGTAACATTTGTGAAAAATTGCTAGAATACCTGATTACCTTCTGACTATGAGAACATTCAACTTGTAGAAAGCTAGGGGTACCTACAGATTCTCCATTGTGCAGCAGTTCAGTGGGAAACTTTGGGCATTTGTATAGGTATAATAAGGCCATGCCGTGATTTTTTTTTAATAGTTTTATAGTTTTCTACCACATTTTTTTTTTTTGCGAAATCTTTTTTTTAAAGCTTTCAAGAGCCAAATTACTCGTTTTTCCTGTTGTATTGTGTGAGATGCTAATGCTGTGGCCTGCTCCCCCCTCCCCCCTCCCCCCCCCCTTCCTACCCCTCCCTCCCCCTACCCCCTACAGATCCCCACTTCAGTCCTAAAGACACCCTGCGGGCGTGGCAAGAGAAGAATCATCCCTGGTTAGAGTTATTATGTGATTCTTTGCCTCCTCCCCCTACCCTCTACAGATCCCCACTTCAGCCCTAAAGACACCCTGCGGGCGTGGCAGGAGAAGAACCATCCCTGGTTAGAGTTATCAGATGTCCATCGGGAGACTACTGATGGCATCAGAGTTACTGTTATACCATTCTACATGGGTGCTAGGGTAGGTAACACTTACAGAAAACATACTTCACTCTTTGTGGTAGAGGTTTCACGTTGCTATACAAAAAATATGAGCTTCAAATGTTACTTTTATAAAGTGATATTGCAAGTTTAAATACTGTCTCAATGAACATAAAAGTGACTCGAGAGTAGACTATTCGATGCACCCCCCTACCCCAGCACCCCCACTCACGGGTCGGAATGACCGCACATGTGCGTGTTGCCAAAATGTCCGGTAAAGGGCCCTTTTTCGTGCGACAAAGTCAGGTCCGAGAATTGTAAAAAAAGGGGTATATTTGACTTTTCACCCTGAGATTTCTTTAAAATGTGGGTGTTTTTTCTTTTTCTCTCTCATCTCTTTGGACTCCTAAGAAATTATTCCGAATTTAGGGGGGTACATTGAGCATTTTTCCTGATTTAGGGGGGTCTCCAAGGCCGGAAAAGCCCGCGAAAAGCCCGGGAAAGGGGGTTCGGAAATGTTGTCAGTCCTCAGATGGGGGTGCTTTTCAAAAAGAGGGAACGAGCATATGCGTACCCTAAATAACACTGAGTGGGGGGCCGGGCCCCCTACATGTTTGCATAGAAAAGGGCCTTAAAAATGATGAGTCCGACTTTGGTTCCGTGCGTAGTGTTTTTATTTTTCTTTATTTTCTTAACACTCATTGTCTGTTAGCTGATAGGATAAATTTCATTTTTTATTTGTTGATGTTTTTTTTTTTTGCCATACACAAATTATTATTTATAGGTGATGGACTGATTTATCAACCACTCCACTGCCACAATGTACTTTATGCATCTGCAGCTGGAAAGCTTGAACAGTTCACTTTATACTAGGGAAAACATCTTTCCTATAGGGGAGAGGGTATTGGTTTCTGTTTATGGATCTTGTTCATTCATTCATTTGTCTGTATCTGTATAACAGTATTGCTGCGAGTATAAATATTCTCCAGATTTGACTTGCAGTATTAAATTCCATATTTTGCAAATCCATTCAGTTTTCATTTTTATTAGTGCCTCATTAATTTGTAAAAATCCAAAAAGAACTTTGAATGATTTCATCTTTTATTCAACTATCATTAGGTTTCACAGGATTCAAGTGTGTATTGGGTGAGTCTACTATTAAAGTACTAGTTTAATACAGTTTTTGTGTATTTTTAATTTTTGTAAATTCTTTATTTAAAAGAAAATTTATTTGATAACAGTAATAATAACGCTGGTACCCGCCAACTAGGTGCTCACTGCACTTGCTCCAAATATAATACATAATCAGTACTCCTGAGACAAATATTTGAATATACACTGCCTATAGGCTCTCAAATAGCACTTGTTCATGTTTAACACTGTTTCTCAATTCCTTGGAATCAGAGCAATATAAACCTATTAGATGTATTGTGTGTCATGTACACATTTGCAAATTTACTAAAAACCTAGTTTTTAGTAATTTCATTTTTTTTTCTTCATCCATTGGGAGATTTATAAATAGATGAAACACTTAGAAAATATATTACAATCTAAAACATTACATTTTATCACACACCATTGTATATCTTAGTGTTCTTTAAACACCAAACAAAACTTTGAACAGAAAGCAGCAAAACTTGATGTACATTTTCAAAAATCACAGATTTCATTTACAAAACAAAACAAAACAAAACATCAAATTGGAAGTTCTTTCATATGAAAGAACACTTAAAAGATTGTATGTCACTAAATTGCCTGTATATCAGTAATCGCCCTTCAAATGCAGTATAAGTCTGAGTGAATCAAAAAGGTTAGAAGAGAAGGGAAAATGGCTTGTGTGATATTTTTCTCTTTGGAATAGAGTACCCGGTATTCAGAAATTGTATTCTTTCTCTTGCAGTGGAGGTACTGCATAAGGCTTGAGAATCTTGGAGATGAAACGGTACAGCTGAGAGAAAGACATTGGAGAATCTTCAGTCTGTCAGGAACGTTAGAGACAGTGAGAGGAAGAGGAGTGGTGGGACAGGTAAGCTGCTTATTATATTGGACAATAGACCACTTCACAGTTAGCACATGTCTGCAATGATCCCCAATATCCACAGATCTTCAAAATCATGAAGAGGTCCCACTTTGTACAACTTAAAATAATCACTCCTACAGCGATGGAGGTGCTACATAAATAGCCTTTGTTTCCCCCTTTTCAAAGAATACTTCCACCTGTGTATCATGGAGTGCACTGCTTGTGCATGAATGAATAATGATTACATAACTTTCATTACTTTCATAACTTTCAGTATTTTGTCTCTGTGTATTTCACAATTGGCTTATAAACTGGCTTATTCATGTACTCATTTGGACTCTTTGGTAGGACAGTGTGTGTGTGTGTAGGGGGGGGGTGGTCATTATCTCAGACCATGGCTAGTTACATTACATGCAGTAGACGTTGGTTTAAAGGTAAAGACCAGTATTGGAAACGCCCCAATTTCAAAAAATGAAATGGAAGCTCTTATTACCAATCATGTGAAAGAATATGTTTTGAATATTACATGATGATAACATTTTTGACGGGAAACCGCCTACTAATTGATATATTTGGTAAATTAGTATATCTCTCGCCTGTTGAGACTGAGAGATACAAATTGCACGTGTCGCGCACGTGTGTGTAGTCCCATATACATCTTTCTGTGTACAGTGCTTCTAACTTTATGAAGACTTGGCCAAATTTCTTATAATTTTGATGATTCCAGAACCTTGCAGTACATCTATGCTAGATGATCAACCTTTTCTGATCGTTTTCACGATGTTTCTTTTACTATGCAATTGCATGACCATAACTGGTCTTTAGCTTTAAAGGGGAACAGAGAGTGATTATTACAAATGATTGAAAATGTAGTCATATTGCCCTTTTCCATTTTGAAACCAAACCTTACATGAATAGGATGCAATTTCTTTCATGACAAATTTCAGTGATTATTGGTGTTTTTACAGAGTAAAACATGTTATATACCTCACTTAAGAAATCCAGCCATCTGATTGGTCGAATTGCATTCATAAACTTCAACTGTTCCTGTAAAATTCCCGGTAACCATGCTTAAAACATTTCAATATTTTTAATAACCATGGTTATTAAAAAAATAGGTCAGTCTCCATGGTTACCCCATAGGTTTACATGTTAAAAAATGGTTTGAGCGATGGAGGATACCATACGTGTGCGAAAAATTGGTCGGCAATTTCAATACAATTGAATCTCGATCGATCTTACCGACAATTTTATCTTGCATTGTTGACATGAAGACGAAAATTAACTCTCAAAAACAAAAAAAAACAACATCTGCCGATAGATCTTGATCTAAGTTCGTGCCAATATGCATTGCAAAAGTAAAAGAAGGGTCCGTTTCATGGAGCTTTTGCGAAGCATCCCTCACGCGGAGCCGTTTTCAATTCATTTCAATGTATATATTGGAGAAAACTGCCAAGCATGTTAACGTAGCGCGATAGCCGAGTGGTCTAAGCGTTGGTTTTCGATACACCTCTTGTTGTACGCAAGAGTTCGAATCCCGTCTTCGACAAAAATGTAAATTATTTTTTATTTTTTATTTTTTAGTCTATTTTTTTTCGGCATATAAAAGTATTAATGACTGCTTTAATATTCGAGAAATAGTTGTTTTCATACGCTCTCGGGAAGGTTACAATTGGGCTATTCCCCTCGGCAAGCCTCGGGGAATAGCACAATTCTAACCTTCCCTTGAGCGTAATAAAACAACTATTTCTCTCAAAGCAGTCATTAATACTATACTATCACAGGGTTCATGGTTCCAGTTCTGTGGGGGCACTACATTTGCACTACATTTGCTAGTACTTTCCACCAAGGTGTAAATTATGGGTACCTAGTAGGAATTAGTTCTTTGAATGCCTAGAGCTCCTTGGGGCAGCAGGGCAAAAGCCAGGGTAGTAAAAGTACTTTGTATAAATGTAGCTATGATTATTATTATTATTATTATTATAGTGTTCTGTGTTCTATGTTCTATGTTCTTATTGTGTATTAATATCCCTTGATTTGTATAGGAACCCATCTTATCTAAGGAGCAACCAGCCTTCCAGTATAGCAGTCATGTATCATTACAAGCACCGAGTGGACACATGTGGTATGTACAGCATAAAAGTCCTCTAACCATTTTATCTCCTCCGAATACTACTTGAGAAATACAGTGTGTGTGTAGATGCAAATTGTAGATGTAGAATTACATAATGCAGAGTAGTGACATCTGAATGGAAATACACCACAAAATAATGGACCTTTTCATTCTTGTGATGAGTCCTTTGTCAGGTGTATAATAAACTACAGGTTGCCTTTCATAGAAAGATCTCACTGCAGTGCACCTGTATCCTTAAGAGTAGACAATGCTATCCATATTCAGTAAACATTTTAAAGGTGGATAAAAGAATGGGGACAGGGGTTTTGTTTTATCATAAGTTTTATATTGTATTTTCCCTGAAGTAAATATGTGAAATAAGGTATTGTAGCCATATCCACTTTAGAGGCATCTATTATTGATAATTATGCTGCTATTCTTCAAATAGTCTGGTTGAAAAAGGAGAGAAGTAGATTGAAAGAGAATACAATGATCAAGACTGAGTAGAAGAAGGGGGAATCAGTGTTTATTTTTTACATTGTTTTGCTTGCTTGAATCTCTATTTTTAGGGGGACATTCCGCATGGAGAAGAGCGACGGTCAGACATTTGACTGTAGAATCCCACCTTTCACCTTAGAGAGCAAGCAAGATGATCACTCCAGTCCACATAGCTTCTTCTGGTGAAGGACATCTCAAGGACAGACAGTCTGACTCAAGGTCACTTTCACATATTTTGCCTACCAATGCCTTGTCAGCTGATCAGTCTATGCTGCTGCTGCTGACAGACAGACTAGCCTCTTCTAGAGACTACTTTACTTACCCTTTTTTTCTCCTTCTGAACGTTGTGTGAAGAAACATCCTATATAGAAAACATTATAATTAAGTAAACATTGTATAGTGAAATGCAAGTTTGAGCATAGTTTCAAATGAATATTGGATAAAGAATCAGGGTCCCATTCTATTTTGAACGTCGTATCGTACAAAAATCATATAAGTGGGCAGGGCTTAGCATGAGCATGTACTGATGATTGGCCTCTGCAAAACTTGTTACTGCATACAATGTTGTTATCTAATCTGTACAGCCCTGTCGCTATACGATCATTCTTCTTACGATGTTACTTTATACAAGTTGCGTATGAATTGTTTATTGTCTGAGGAGGCTATATAAGGGCATGTCAATGACGCGGTCCCCTAGTGCGACCCTCATTCATGTATCTGCCTATGATCAAAAGTGTAGAATATGTACAACTGAATCAATTGTCTCTAATTGATATAACAGTGTCATTTATACATATTGTATCAATATGTTTCAATTTTAATTGGGGAGCACCAGGAGTGTCAAGTCTGAAAAACACAAAAGCTATATAAGAAACTGCTATTATTATTACCGGTAGTATTAATATTAAATTCAGAGGTGGCAGGGGTTTGATTTTTTCTACAATTGTAACACTTTCATTTTAGAAAAAAAGAGACACTGTACTTCAATAATACTTTATGCAAATGTTTTGTATGTGTCTTCCATTGATAACATGAAATGTGACAGAACTATTGAAACTAATCTTGTTAAAACAATAGAAAGGATGGAGGTACAAGTCGGTCCTGGTTCTTCAGGGTGAATTGCAATGTGTTAATTATTATTTTTTGGATTAAAAGCAAATGAATGTTGACAGTCATTTGTTTTTTGGTGGTCTGGATATAATAAAATTGGGTATAATAAAAGCAGAGATATGTTGAATACTGTTAAACACATGTTGGCTAGTAATCGTGCATAATAATGCATGTGTCCTCATGTCCAATGAGTGGGCAGTATTTGATGGAATAAGCTGATATATGTATATGCTTCCACTGTAAGGGTTGAAGAGCTCTTTCTTTAATATTGACCAGTAAGGTTACTAACATCTCTGAATAGTTGAAATACATGTATTTTCAATGTTATGGAAGTCTTAGAAAAGGAGGCATTCAGGTTTGAGTTATTTAGTTCAGTATTTCTCTTTCTTGGCGTCCATGAGGCTCTTCAAGTTCTACTATTATTTTCTACACACTGCTTTCTTGATTTTGTCTTTGCTGAATAAACTTTGCTGATAGACAGTCTACCTTAACAAGGAAAAAAAATCATCAGAAGAAATTATATAGTGCATAAATCTGTAGAATGGTCTTTCAGTTTGTGCATTTCTCATTATACTTATATTTTAATAATAACATACATTGCTTAATATTGAAAACCACAGTACCAGTATGTGGTAACTGAGAATTATGTTTTGATGTAGATTTTCCCCATTTTCTGAAGATTAACAGCATTACTGTGAAGACAATTTCCATTTATATACATGGCCCCATCCAGAAGATGCTTTGTAAGATTTCATAATAGATGTATTTAATACTCTTAGTATTTTTACTTAAATATTCATATTCAGAACTGAATTATCTACATGTATCTGTACAATAATAAAAAGCATTTTAAAGCAATATGTCATGACATTATTAGCTGATTTTACTATAGTTAGGAGTTACAAGTGACATACTATAAAATATGTAATTTTCATTACTAAGTCTTATCTGAATCTCACTTCATGGCGAGCTATCTACCGTTCAAATTTTCCCAAATATGGATATGCAAGTTAATGGATTGTTTTGAGTGTTACACATTTTTTGTTAAGCTTAAACCATTGAGCGTGTGATATAAAGTGTACTATTCAACAGTTGTGCAAATGAAAGTAATTTAATTGTGCATGAATATTGAATATATCTTAAAATGCTTGAAGAAAAGAATGTACATGTAAGTAGGCGAAAGTATGTGTATCAAGCAAGTGATGTTTGTTACAAAGAATGTTGCTTTTCATCTGTCCTTGCTTTGCATGTCTGGCAAGAAACACACTGCACTACAATTAATATGTTCATTTGAAGGGCACTCCAATCTTTGTAATAATTTTATTTGCATGTAAGTGGCAACAAAAATGAAAAAGAATGGCAAAAGTTTGAAACTTTCATCAGTTTGCTTCTCTGATTTTTCTGCTTTCGTTTAGAGTAATTGTCCATTTGGGTAGGAATTCCCTTTAAAGACCCTGTCGGAAGTGAAAAAGGAAAGGGATGAATTGTATATCAATTGAAAGCTTATAAGCCATAGATTACAATATATGCTATTTTAGTGTTGGTTAGAGTAGTAAAAGCTCTCTGGAAACTCAATCTAGAGCTTTAAAAATGGGGATGTCATTGACCTAAAAAAGCTAGCCATCAACTTGATATCACCATATGTGGAGTATGCATATTCACAACACTTTGCATTAAGCACGGTTCATCGCCTCAGCTATATAGTCAAGCTGAATGGGTCCACAAGTTATGTTATAAACGTGATTCCGGAAAATACAACCCCTGAGGAAAATTTGCTTTTAATTTGCTTTTGTGCAATACTACAAGGGAAAACATTTTTGTATTCCTTTATATTTGTATTCTACGTTCATTCAGCTTTCCATTGATATAAAGTTCTATTTTCATCGAATAGGGTCTTTAACCCTTACTGTACTGGGGGGGGGCCTGGGAGGCCCCCCCCTCGACATTTTCGGAGATTGCGCCGCAACCGCTTGGAATTTTGAATTGTCGTTTCATGACTTTTTTCCCTCAAGTCTTACGCACATTTTGATACCATTTTCGTCGAAATCGGATATACCTGTAAGGCGTTACATAACAATTAGTATGCGCATGTCATCAAAAAAAAAAAAAAAAATTACAAATCGCATCAAAATTTGCATAAATTATCATTATTAATTACATTAAAATAACTTTTTTGTGTTAGAAAAGAAGTTTCATATGAATAATGAGTTTCAACATTCAAAAATTGGAGTTTGACACGTTTTCTGTAAAATGCATAAAATTAGCGCGTTTTGCATAATTAATTAGGCTAACGACAAAAATTTGCATATTTGGAAAAAACTATTTATACCATCTTGTTCCTTACGTAAATATCTACAAACATGCAAATTTTCGTGTTCATCGGACAATCGACGGCCGAGATCATAGGGGGGGGGCCTCCCAGGCCCCCCCCCCAGTCAGAGGGTGCTCAAAATAGCCCAGTACAGTAAGGGTTAATAAGTTAATAGATGAACAACAACAAAAGCATGAACTGAGGTGGACTTCTAGTCTAGAAAGTACTATGCAAATGTTGAAAGTTGTCCAGATTCCCCAAATAAATGCATCTTTTTTGTTCTCGGTAGTCGAATACCACTTTTCAAAAGCTGATTTATTTTCATAACACGCTTCCTTTATTGTAATGTATAAGTCAAATTAATATGTGCAGGTATCTCTTTAATATTCATTGTGTAATTAATGTCATGTTCCCTAATTATTGATGGATATATTGTAAATAAAATGATAATTAAACCAATTTCTTGTTTCATATTGTTTGTTAAAGGGTACTGATAAAACAACTCTTTCAGATAAGATAAAGCTATGTTAACCCAGAAACTGGCATTGTTAACCATTCGCAATGTATCTGGTATTATTAAGTACATGTATTGATTATAAGATATCTTTAAAGGCCACACACTCATTTACAAAGTTCCAAATGGTGATCATATTCTTTAATTTATTCATACTCCTGTTATGTCATGATACTTTTTAATAAAAATACTCAAGAAAATGCACTTTAAAATCATGTACACATCTCTTGAAGTTGATATAACAAAAATATTATTTTAAATTTTACAACATATAGTATAAGACATTTGAGATACTCATATTCATCCACCTTTTATGTAAAATTCTGGTTAACATACATGAAAATCAGACGTCACACATTGTTTGCAATTTTGCATATAAATCACAAGAGCAAGGTTTTGAGTTGTACACCTAAATAACTGATTTAAGCCCTTGCAACAGTGCACAACACCTGCACTCCCTGGGGAGAATTCCTACCATAATTTGCACAATTCACATGCAAGCATGCCATTAGGCAAGGGCTGTCACATTGGCTTTTAGCAACCCTCGGAGATTACCTGGCTAAGAGTGGCATTTTAGATTCCTGTCTTACCAAAGGACTTGAACCACGGTGCATATGATCCACAGTAAGGTCAACATGGTTTAACCATTAAACCATGACACCTCTACAATCACAACCACAACATTTTCGCAAAACAGTGATATTTCACAAAATTTCAAATACATTTCAGCAAATAATTGATAGAAATTATAATGTTTATGCTAGTTTACCTTACATCAATGACGTACACTTCCTTTCAATCAAATCATCTCTATAATAACGACCCAAGCTTGTAGACTGATAGACAAAGCTTTTAGCTGATGGTTACAGAACTAACATTATACAAATATTGCATGCTCCGGCTTTCAATAAAACAAAATATATTAACCAAAACAAATCAGGATTTCTAGAGTGATGTTATATATATTTTACCTAGGCCACAGGCCAAGGTTGAAATAAAATGGTAAGGGAACTTCTGAAATGGGAGGTGAATACATCGAGGGGTTAGTGACACAAACACGTAACTTCATTTTGGCTATTTTGAGAAAAAGTGGTTTATGTGTCACTGAGCACTAAAAGAGTTAAGTCTATGTTTCACTAGCCATCGACTTCAATGGGGAGTTGGCACTATGAATATGACTGACAAAGAAAGCTGACAAAATATCGGTTCCTCAGGTAGACAAAGAAACATCCCTTCACTGCTATTATGTTAAAAGGTGAATATGCATGTGACACCTGTTCTACACATTTTTACATAATAGCAGTGAAGGGATGTTCCTTTGTCTACCTGAGGAACTGTATAGTTTGTCCACTTTCTTTGTCAGTCATATTCATAGTGTGGGTGGAATTAAGACTTTGTGTTTCCTGGAAAGCCCACAATGTTCTGAACATTTTGATATTAAATACTCATTTTGGCAAAATATGGAGTTATGTCTTTGTGTCACTGAACCCTTGATATGTAATATTGAACAACAAAATGCATATGCAATATTTGAGGGTATTTGCGATCCTATGGAGTTAGGTGCTCTTGGGTTGCATTTGTGTAAGATGCACACAGCTAAGGCAATTAATGCAAACAATGTCATGTGTACGCACAAAGAAGAGAGGCACACAGTCTAATTCATTTTGTGTACTAGGTGTTATACCATGCCAAAAGGTTGTTATGTCGCATGTTTGTGCACATAAAACTTGTTGAATGTCAAAAATCGTATGACATCTGTAATTTATAAAGAAACAAGGAAAATAATTAATATTTCAAAAGTATGTACCGGTATTCTGCTTTTATACACAACAACTATTGCATTTGCTGGAGAGTACCAAAATCATTGGTGATTGGTAAATAATGGGTGGTATTCTCGAAAGCGGCCTAAGTTAAATCAGTGGCCTAAACCTGGTTTAAACCATGGACTATCTTTTTTGCTATTCTCGAAGGTGGCCTAAAGATAAGCCAGGCTTAAATACGTCATAGTTCGGCCTAACTTTAGGCGGCTCAGAGGGCAGGTTTAAATACGTCATAGTTCGGCCTAACTTCGCGTGACGTCACTTTTTAGTTAAATCGACTGTCCGCGGAGAGTGAACGGTAAGTTTTGCATTTGAATTTCTATATTTGATAACAATTTACACTCTTTTGTATGGATAAGCGCTCATGAAAGTTACACCAGCTAATAAAGTATTTTTTTTACTTTCATGTTGCTGTACTGGTGATAATCTAAAATGCTTTTAACTGAATAAATTTGAAGGAAACTTGGTAAATGTTCACAGTGTTCGCAGAGCAGTCCCATACGTGCAAATAATTGTCGGTTAATATTTTCGTTTCCTAAGATTGAGCAATTTCTTACCGGGTAATTCTTTTTCTTGGCACTATTGTCCTTTCGTACGCATATACCACCTTAACACCACCTTAAAACTATCATTGCTAGACGTAGAAACTACTTTTATAGTGGATTTTCGAGACGATGTTGCCTAAAAGTGGACTAGCAGTCTCTTTCGTTCGTTAGCCTCTGATTTGGGTAGTGTCGGCTGTTGTAATTTGGGTTGGAAAGTAGGCTACTAACTATTAAGCTATTGTAAGTATAGAGACAAACAAAATGGAGCCTGCAGAAACACGTGTGGTTGCTTTGGTAGTTTAATCCAGACTCAATATCCATGTGCTTTTACATGTATAATGTAGTGATCGGAAGACCCTTGCATACACTTGCATTGTGTGTAGACTATGCATCTAATATGAATAACAATGAACTGTGCCTTAACAGCTGCAGTGCATTTCTAAGTGGCATGTTAATTTCAATTGCATGTTAGTTTCAATGAACCTGTTTCTAAACATAACATCGGCCCCTCTCTTTCAGCCGACCCTACCCAAATCAGAGGCTAACAAATGAAACAGACAGAAATTTCGGTCTGGTATCACCTCTGCCTGAGCTGCAGTGCTGTGCTAGTTGTGGCTGTTGGTGTGATGATTTTCATAACCACCCACCCCTGCCCCCCCCCCCCCCCCAAGAATTTTTTTTTTTTAAACAATATTAATAGACCTAGATCTAAATTTCATCAGAGTCTAGTCTAGACAGGTCTAATAGAAATTGAAAGGAAATGGACAAAAGCTTCCTTTTTTGACATACATTTGCTGATAATGTTACTGTAACAGTAGTTTAGTCTAATAATACTATTAGTTAGTAAACTACAGAGAAAGAGAAATTGTAATTTCTCAAATATTAACATATTTTTCATCTTGATTTTCTGCTATTTCAGGTTCTTTTCAATTGATGCATGGGGATGAAAAAAGAAGGCCTCTCCCAAGCTATGGTGTCCCGCCTTGTGAAGTCCATCTCAATAGCCATTGCCAGGAGATGGGAGCAATACATCTCAATTCCTTCAACAAGAGAGGCAGTCCTGCAGAGTGCAGACCCAACATGAATGTTATAATTACTGCCATTTCCCTGGCGTTAATATGGTGCACCCACATAGGCATCTCCAAGCCAGTTGGCCCAACACCAGTTATTTCCTGAACAGGAAAAATAGATACTCCATTTTTCTTGGAAAGTCTGCTGGTGAGTAAAGCTGTAATTACGCCTAAATTTTGTAAACTAAATCATGTTTATACAATTTTTATTAAAAGATCTCCTGATTTTATGAATCTGCAGATGTGTCTACAGGTACATTATGAAGTGATTTAAAATTGTTTTGTCTGATGAATTTAGGTGCAATCTACACTCAAACTTTTATTCATTTTACATGGGCACGAGCTAATATTTTCAGCTCAATTGCCATGGCTACCAGTCACTCCTGACAGTGACAGCTTGGTCTAGACTTTTGGGAGGAACTATCTCTGAAAATAAGACACAAATAATCAACAGTTGATTAACTTCTTTAAAATTTGGGTCAGAAGAAAATTCAAACCTACCGCTAACAATTCTGGACCATATAAGACTTAGAGACCTACAGACTGCAGTACAGTGCAGTGCAGTAAATTTTCATTTTACTTTTTCCCCTTTCACGAAGCTCATTTTGGGAGATAACATAAACAAAGACAATCTTTGGTCTAATGTTAGATTGAACTAAAATGGAAAAGATGGGCTCTAACGATTAGGGCCTTGTAAAATCTCCATTCCAGGCTGCATTTACATCTAGGTTAAGCCAACTGTCGGTTGGTTATCTAAGTAAGATGTAGACCTCTAGACTTGATTTTAGGAAAGGGACTAACTTAGCTATAGACTTTAACTACTTAGGGCTTTCTTAGGCCATGAAATGACAAGTACAACTTTGTGCAAGCACATTTATGAGATAGTACTGCAAGAATGTGTATGTTTGTTCTTGATTTTAAAAGAGATACCGGTAGTCATTCTGTAAATCAATGATTACTAGTAACTGAGTGGGGAGGGGTGCCTAGTCACTGCCTACATGAAAGGCGCCTTAAAAAAAAAATTAAGTTAGAGTAGATTTTTGATATTTTAATGAGGTCTACCGTAAACCTTTTTATTTTTGTTTCAGGATGATGTTTTTCTTCAGTAAAATAAATGAAGGCAAATTTCCTGATAACTGAGACAAATTCAGAGAGAGGAAGGAGAACTACTGAGCTGCTGAATTTCTGACAGGTAGGCTGTACGAATAAGTTGTTGTTTGTATGCCCATGTACTTCAAGGATGGCATTTGTTCATTCACATTTTTCCATCAATACTTTCATGTAATTGATTATGCACTCCACTTTTACCACAATGTACATGGAAGACCTTTTTAATCTTTAACAGAAATAGGTTTCAATGTGCTTCCTTTCATTATTTTCTCTTTTCATTCAACAGACTTGCAAGGACTATGAAGTTCTACTTAGCCTCTTCAATGAACCAGACTCCATCTGCTGTAACTGTGACTGCGTGGGGATCAAAACCTTTGTATTATAATCCTCATAACATGAAGCTATGGTAACAAACAAGCAACCATTGATAAAAAGCCTGATATATCCTTGTTGTATGTGTGAACCACAAAGCAACCATCACTCATAAGGATGTTTTTATGTACATCAGATCTTCATTGTTTCACTGGAAAATTGTGATTTTGAATCATTTCAGAAATCATGTTTTGTAATGTGTTTTATAACATAGTGCAAGTCATGATATAACAGATTCCCTGCAAAAGAAACATGGCTCAAAAGTAGACTATGCTTTGTTTTAAAAAAATGGGAAAAAGTAATGTAACAAATGCATAACATTTAATTCTAATAGTTTCAAGTTGCAGATTATGTGGCTATTGCAGCTTAATATTTGACCTTCAATTTTATAATCGTATTCATCGTGAATTACAATCTTTTCTGTTTCAAGAAAAATAAATGAATTGAACATAATTGTTGATATGTTATATACAATATTCCTTTCATATCTTTTGATTTTAAGTGTGCATACTGTTGGGTTCATTGAATTATACATGAAAAAAGTCTTGTAATAGAACAGTGAGAGAACAGAGAGCGAGTGAGAGAGAGAGAGAGAGTAAAAGAGAAAGGGAACCAAATGAGAAAGAACAATTTAATGGTGAGAGAAATAAACAATGATGTGAGATAGTGTGTGTGTGTGAGAGAGAGAGAGAGAGAGAGAGATGGAGATAGGGAGAAAGAGTTGGGGGGGGGAGGGGGTACAGTGCCCCCTTTTTCAAATGCCCCTTTTTATATAGGAAAGTTCCCTTTTAACTTTGTAAGAAGTGCCCCTTTTTCCATAGGAAAAGTGCCCCTTCCCCTTTTCACCTCTGATAAGTGCCCCTTTAATTTTGACACGCGCCCCTTTTCCTTTGACAAGTTTTCATTTTTCTTTGCAATAAGTGCCCCTTTTCACTTTTGAGAAGTGCCCCTTCACCTCTGATAATTGCCCTATTTAAATTTGAGAGGTGCCCCTATTAACAAAATTATCGGTGTCCATTTTCTTTCAACAAATGCACATTTCCTTTATTATAAGTGCCTCTTTTTCATTCTCATAAGTGCCCTTTAAAAATATGTTAAATGCCCATTTTCAGGTGCGATATGTGATCCTTTTCACCTCTGATAATTTCCCTTTTAACAATGATACAATTCCAGCAAGTGCCCTTTTTGTTGGTGCTGCCCCCCGCTTTGGAAGTCGCTTCGCCGCCCCTGGACGTCATATTGCTCAAGTTGTCGTGGTGATGCATCCTCTCCACACTGCGCGCATCCATTGTCTTAGCCCATTGTTTTAGTGCATTGTGACGTCATATTGCTCAAGTTGTCGAGGTGATGCATCCTCTCCACACTGCGCGCATCCATTGTCTTAGTGCATTGTGACGTCGCAGCTTCGGTACTGAGCATGTGCAGAAACCGTAACCATGGTGAATAATCCATGGACTAAGTTAGGCCAGGTTTAAACCATGGATCAGTTAGGCCACCTTTCGAGAAATGAAAATGACTTAGGTCAGCGGCCTAAGTTAAGCCTGGCCTAACTAAACCACGGTTTAACTTAGGCCAGGTTTAACTTAGGCCGCTTTCGAGAATACCACCCAATAAGTTTAACTAAAACCACTAGAGATCAAGACCCTTTGTCCCACCTCAATACTGCTTCTGAATCATTTAAAGGTAAAGACCAGTTATGGTCATGCGATTGCATTGTGAAAGAAACGTTGTGGAATCGATCAGAAAAGGTTGATCATCTAGCATCTAGCATCTGCAAGGTTCTGGAATCATCTAAATGATAAGAAATTTGGCCCATTTTTTGTAAAGTTACAAGCACTATACACAGAAAGATGTATATGGGACTACCCTATATCTCTCACAGACCATGAGAGAAACAAATATACCAAATATATGAATTAGTAGGCGGTTTCCCGGCAAATCTTTTATCATCATGTATTAGTCAAAACATATTCTTTCACATGATTGGTAATGAGAGCTTCCATTTCACTTTTTGAAATTGGGGCGTTTCCAATACTGGTCTTTACCTTTAATACTGACCCTCATATCTACCGGTATTATATTTGGCCTTTGTAAACAAAGTTTTTCTTTTTATTGCATGAAGTCACGCTTTTAGTTAATATTAAATTATCATACCGGTATGTCAATGTTGATTTTATAACCATACTACATGTTTACATGTATTTTACAGTAAATATGACAATATTAGTCTCCAGACTTTTGCCAAGTTCTATTTTTTCTTTCTTTTTGTTTAACTAACAAAATTGAATTGAATTGAATATTACATACAGTCACTCCTGTCTTAGTGGCCACCTCTATATAAAGGCTACCTGTCTATAAGGGTCTCCTTTATTGCCTCCATCTAGAAGGAACCATGTTGAAGAACCTGTCTATAAAGGCTACCTGTCTATAGTGGTCTCCTGTATTGCCTCCATCTAGAAGGAACCATGTTGAAGAACCTGTCTATAAAGGCTACCTGTCTATAGTGGTCTCCTGTATTGCCTCCATCTAGAAGGAAACATGTTAAAGAACCTGTCTATTAGGGCCAACTGTCTAGAGTGCTCACCTTCTGTGTTTCCATAGTTTAAATGTATTTCAAGAGGCATTGATCAAATGAGATTCAGTAGAGATATGGTCTTAATATCTTAAAATGATCTCACTCATTGAGAATCTGGAGCCTGTCTTATAAAGAGTTATCATGGAAACAATCGATCGCAACTTGATATCAATGGGCAACTCTGCACCTAAGAGAGAGAAGTTTGCGATTCATCCGTCTGGATTATTTGCAATTCTTTATAAGACAAGGCCCAGAAGTGATAATTACATAGCATTTGACTCTACTCGTCATGCATGAAGACTCCAAATCTAGAGCACAACCGTGATAAATCCACACATTGTTTCTTGCAGCATTTCCTTTCTTTGTCCATGGAATGTCAACTTCACATAATATAATGTGTCTCAAGTATGCTGCCACATGATGCTGTTATACTTCATGTTTGATGAAGAAATAGAGATCCGCTACAGCTACTATGAATGCCAATATGAGTCCGGCTGTAACTCGCTGTTTGATAGAAAGGAAAGAAAAACAAAGGAGAAAACAAAACTGGATCAATTGAGGAGATCTAGACAATTTGTCTACAATAAAAATGACTGATGAGCTTTCATTTCACACCCATAATATTTTGAACAAAGGTTTTCATGATAAATACAGAATACTGTGTCATGAAATAACTTAGATGGGAAAAATCTATTCTTCATGAATTTGGCATTTATTACATGAAAATCCTTTATTTTTCAAATAATCTTTGACATACAAGATCCATTTTTGTGTGTGGTGTTTTTTGTTTGTAGAAACATAAAAAAGCTCTCCTCTGATGGGGACATGTATATACTCACCCATATAATAGGCTGGTCTTGATATAGAGCAGCCATGTACCCAAACACAAAGCCACCTCCAATGGTTAAGACAACGTTGAAAATCCCCATCATCTGAACTTGGAATGTCCGAACTATTTAAAGACAAAAATATTATTATCAAAATTATCATAAAAATTCATGTAAAAATTGAAAAATTTGAGTGAAAGCAAACAAATCAGAGAGAGTTAAATACTGGCAGATTTGTTTGTTTGATTGTTAGATGTTGTTTTTCTCTCTTATACAGTATACTCACGATTCATTATTTGTCGTGTCTTGCTATTTTGTGCTATTCATTTAAATGTAAAGTGACATGCATTGGAAAACAAAACCTATGTACAATAGCTATTTAGTTAATCTTTGCATCCATGTGACTCACTTCTAACTTTTGTATTCACTGTTTTTTTTCTTCATTTGCTAAATAAATAATAACAACAAACAACGATGTTGTTTCCCCCTCCCCCTCCCCCTCCCCCTCCCCCTCCCCCTCCCCCTCATCCTCCACTACCACTACCATTCAAAGAGCTTACCTTCTTGTCCCACTTGTGCTAATGGACTTTCTCCATAAGTCTGTAAATGTAGAACCACAAAGAATACAAATTAACAAGCAATCGTGTACCATGGTATGACAAATGATTGGTTTGTCCCTATTATATCACATAACACAGTTTTAATGCCTTCCAAAGAAAGAATATACACATTGATATTATAGAATCATAATGAGTCCTTGTATAAAATAATTAAAAAACCAAGAGCTGTTATTTAAAAAAGAAAAAGTAAAATTCATCACAGCTTGGAATCAAAATGGTAAAAGACAGCACAGAAAACAATCCCTATCATAACTGTTCATCAAACATTTGTTGATATAAAAAGAAACACGGAGAGAGTGCTGAATTTGATACTTACTTTAATTTTCACATTCTTTGTCATGCGTCTGTACTCCCTATCCTCTTGTTCAGCCTGTAACCTCTCCAGTCTAGCAACTAGTTCAGGGTTCTTGAAATATATAACAGATAAATATTAATAGCAGCAATGTATGTACTCATGCTGGTCATGCCTGACACTATGTAGCCACTGTTATACACTACAGTATGTACCATCATATTAGGTGATGGTTGCTTGTTCTTAGGCTTACAGCCTCTTTGGAAAACAAGTTTTGTTAATCAGCAGGTCCTATGATATTTCCTGCCCCAACAGAGACAAATATAAGAATAACCTTGGCTCATATGATTTGCGTACAATTCTGAAATATATATATATATATATATATATATATATATAATCATATGAGCCAAGATTATTCTTATATTTAAATTATGAAAGTTGATGTCCAATACATATTGCAATTTCAGACAAAGACATTTAAAAAATTATATATAATCATATGAGCCAAGATTATTCTTATATTTAAATTATGAAAGTTGATGTCCAATACATATTGCAATTTCAGACAAAGACATTTAAAGTTGAAAACCACCTGCCATCCTAGTTGATAAACAGATAACTCCAATGTATTACTATGAGGAGCATACAGATAAAAGCTCAAGGAAACTAATGAAATTTATAATTTATCAAAAAAACTCAAACTAACTTGACAAAAGTAAAATTGAATAATAATTTAATAGTAGAAAGGATGATAAAAGTGCCTTTCAGTTTCTACATAACTTTGTTAGAATGAAGTATGGTCTTAAAACTTCATACTCCCTGCATCAGCATGAACAGTGAGAGCTGGCTCAATGTCTTACCCTTTCTGGTTCTCTCAAGGGTGGATGATATACATCTGCTCCCTCAAGTAGTTCATGGAGATACACAGGTTTTGAGCCTATGGCAAGAAGGAGAAAGGATAGAATGTGGAAAATCATGGTTTTTCATTATTATTAGAAGTGAAACAAGCACTAATAGCCCCAAAATGTCATTGGATCAACTTCCTAATACTGTCACCTTGTTTGAAGCTCATACCTCAAGAAGTTCTTGACATATTGTGATAACAAGGGTAATACCTCTAATTGTGTGAAAATGGGACACTTATAACAAAGGAAAATGTGCACTTGTTGAAAGAAAAGGGGCACTGAACAGATTTTAATAGGTGCATTAATTGGAGGTGAAAGGGCGCTTTTATGAGAAGGGGGAAGTGGCTCTTATTAGAAAGAGAAAGAAACACATGCTAAATAAACGGGACATTTATCAAAAATGTAAAGTGAAAAATGATTATGAGAAGGGGAAGGGGCACTTATAACAAGTAAAAAGAGCATTTATTAGAAGAAGAAAAACGGGGCATGTGTCTAAAATAAAAAGGTGCAGTTATTAGAGGTGAAAATGGGCACTCATCGGAGATGAAAAAAGCTGAAAATCAGAGATAAAAATAAACTCCAGCTTAATCAGTCATCACATTCAAGTCATGCCTTACTTGGAAATCCATACCAGCTGGAATGTATAAAGCAACACCACCTCCTATTTTATCACGTTTTTGACTAGACACCAAACTATATATATATATATATCCAGAAATAGAACATAAATTAACATCACTGTGGGGTAATGTGACCCAAATTACTGTAGAGCTATCACTGAGATTTCTGGTTAGACTTAGAGTATTAAAAGCATCAAAATGTTTATGAATACTTATATTTAAATGTAGGACAGTAACATCATTTTCACATTTAAACCTATCCATAAATTGATTTTCTGAACAGTAATGACAAACAATTGACCCAGTACGACTATGAGGATTGATTTAATAAGCTTTGTATGATTAGGAACAGACCTGTTGAATATCAATGGTACGCAGATATATACACATTGTTTAGTGAATGTGCGGTTAAAATAATAATAAAAATATAAAAATATAAAAATAAAAAATAAAAAAAATAAAAAGTAGCTTGTCTGCATGCTAGACGTTGCCATTCCTCAATGCCACTTTGAAGGCATCGAGTGAGACAAACTCTTTTGGGTCTTTCTTTAGGGAGTTCCATTCTTTGCTGGTGCGGTGAAAGAAGGAGGAAGAGTACACTTGGGAGCTGCAGTAGGGAGTCCAGAAACGTGAGCCATGACCTCTTGTGATGGACGTAGATTCAGTGAGATGTTGTCTCCACTTGATATCTACCAGGTCCCAGCGGATTCTGTAAAGCATAGCAAGTTGACTCTGGCAGCGCCTACTCTGGAGAGTTGGCCATTGTAGATCCTTCAGTAAGGCTGTTACGCTTGATCTGCGGTCATAAGTGCTGGTGACATATCTTGCGCTGCTTCTTTGGACTTGCTCTAGCTTCCTGATGTTTCGTTGAGAGTGTGAGCAAACTCCACTATTGGCCTCACATAGGTCTTGTATGTTGCCTCTTTAATCTTGCGACTACAGCTGTTGAAGTTGCATTGGAGAAGAGCTCGGATGGAGTTAGCCTTCTTGGTGGTGATGTCAACATGTGTGTTGAAGGACAGCTTTGTGTCAACGTTAAGTCCGAGATACTTGGCAGAGTGAACTTCTTCAAGGATCAATCCATGGATGGAGTAAGTTGAAGAAATAGGCTTGTGCTTGTTTGTTATACAAACAACTTGGCACTTGGAAGGATGGAACTCCATTAGCCACTTTCTCTCCCACTTCTGCAAGGCATCTAAGTCTTCTTAAAGTAGTGCAGCATCCCTAGGTGATGTGATTCTCTTGTAGACCGCACAGTCATCAGCAAATAATCTTGCTGTGGAGCTCTTAACGCAGTCTGGGAGATCGTTGATGTACGCCAGGAAGAGAAGTGGTCCGAGGACGCTGCCTTGCGGGACTCCAGACGTAACATCTGCCTGTGTGCTGACTTGGCCGTCTACCAGAACTTGTTGAGTTCGTTGACTAAGGAAGTCCTTGACCCAAAGAAGAGTTGTACCACGTACACCATAGTGCTCCAGCTTGTGTAGGAGCAATCTGTGGGAGACCTTGTCAAAGGCTTTGCTGAAGTCCAGTAGTATCAAGTCAGTCTGCCCTTTCTCTTCGATTCCCTTGGCCAGATCGTTAATAGTCAGTATTAGCTGAGAGTCACATGAATGCCTCTTTCTGAACCCATGTTGTGCATCAGATAGTATCTTGTGGTCAGACAGGTGGTTGATGATGGTACTGTGAATCACATGTTCGCACACCTTGCACAGGATGGCTGTGGTTGGCAGGTGAAGATCGGCTCCCCTTCTTGAAGAGTGGAACCACCACGGCCTTCTTCCATGTAGCAGGGATGGTACCTTGATCAAGGGTGGCCTGGAACAGGATGCTGATGGCTGGCGCAATCTCGTTAGCAATTTCCTTCAGCAGTTTGAGGAGTCCAGAGGACTTTGGCAATCCCAGTGTTACTGATCTTGATGTCGCTCATTGTAGGGTGAGGGCTCGGTCCGAGGTCAGGAATTACAGTATTGCTATCGTTGGAAAAGACAGATGCAAACTGACGGTTGAGGATGTTGGCCTCGGTTTTCGGGTCACTATGTAGGAAATTCCCTTCCTTCAAAGGTGCTATGCCAGTCTGATCACAGCGCTTGGCTTTGATAATAGCGCCTAACCTCTTGTTATTACCTCCAGGTTTACTGTAGATGATGTCGGTGAGGTACTGGTTGTAAGCTTGACAACATGTAGCTTGAGCCTGATTCTTCAGATGACTGAATCACTTCCAATCACGCTCTCTGTTCGTCAATCTAGCCTTCTTGAAGGCTCTGGCCTTCCTTCTGCAGATTCTTTTGGTAGCTGTGGAGAACCAAGGTTGACTGTATCTGGTGGAAGTGAATTTTGAAGGAACTTGATTTTGAAGAGTGTTCTCAAGATGGAGCTCAATTTCACTTCCAAGATCTTCCACTGGAGTAGATGGTGAGTAGGTTGCAACAAAGTTGTCGGTCCAGCGTTGAGTTTCGACACGAATGGCATCGAATTTGGTACGCTTCCAAAGGTAGACTTTACGGCGGACTGGTTTCCGCCTCTTAGCCAGGATGTTCCAATCTGCATAGACTATGTCATGATCACTTAGTCCCGGCATACTTTCGCAACGATTGACAAGTGATGGTCGATTTGTTATGATTACATCAAGAGTGTTGTCAAGACGGGTGGGAAAGTCTCCAATTTGCTCAAGTCCGGTTTTAGCTAGCAGTTGAAGGAATGATTCATTGATACCTTTCCTGTACTGGTGGCAAACAATCTCGTTGGTAGTCCAACAAATGTCTGGCAGGTTAATATCACCTGTAATCCATATAGCTGCCCCTTGGTTGGTGGCACAGATATCTTCAATACTCTGGTTTAGGCCATCCAAATGTAACTGGTTATTATCAGTGGGGTGATATAGGGCACCAACTATAATACTCTGTTTGCCGCTGAGTATTTTAGCAGCAATGAACTCAGCTTCAGATGAGATGTCCAATTGGTGACTGATTAGGCTGGAGTTAATGCCGAGCAAAACACCTCCATAACCTAATTGAAATTAGGTGGAAATATTTCACAGGAGTTGACACCAGGAGAGAGCCAGGTTTCACAACCGAAGATAATGTCAGGTTTAACCGCGTCAATAACTCTCCAGAACTCTGCTCTTTTATTGAAGATCTTTTGGAAGTTGATCTCCAGGGTGCGCAGGTTTGTAGCTGATTGTGATGTCCTGGCAGAAGATTTTGATGGAGATGACTGAGCTGATGGAGAACCTGGATCAGAAGATGTGCTACTTCTAGTATTGCTAATGTTGGTATCAGAATCAGAAAGGCTGTCATCATTGATGGTAGAGTCAAACAGGCTAGTTGATATATTGGGTAAACCACAATTGGTGCATTCCCAAGGAATATCAGATCTAGACAGGCAAGAGAACATGTCATCAGACATACCAATGCAGACAATGTGAAACCAGGTATTGCATTGTTCACAAAGTATACTAGATTTTGCTCCTCTGTAGTCAGTACATGCTTTCTTGCATTCACCGCAAGGAAATTTGGGTAATCTAGGGCCTTGATTCACTTCAACATCACCTGCTCTCAAGATGCGTAAAAGCAGGCCAAGAATTATCATCAAAGAGTAGTTCAACATACTTAAATTTGGCATACATGTACTTAGTAACATTTTGTATATAATAGGTTCTTGGTAGTACTAGTACTATTAGGTTATATCATAAATATTTTGAGGAGGTATCAGCAAGGAAGACTAAAGATAATCCAAATATTATTTTTAAAAAATTTAAAAAAATTAAAAAAAAAGTATGACATAAAATTGATTTAATCGACTTGTCCGATTAAGTTCCGTGGCACAAACTCGGCATTACTGGACAAACCTAACAATCACAGAGCTTGAACCTGTTGCTCTGTTCGCCAGCAGTTTAAGGATATGAAACCCCGCGGCACACTACTCACAAGAGCTCTAACAAGCCAAGCTTATACAGAGCCTACAAGTAAAATAATACCACATATGTACCACTCACCCAGCCGATTCAAGAACAAAATATGATTAACGTAAAACAGGAAAAATAAAAACAATAAATACCAAATTGTGAATTGTGAACTATAATAATATTATCAGCACACCCAACGCACATATCAGTACAAAGCATAATAGTCTACATCTACAAAAAGCATACATCTATAAAATGCATATACATCTATATATATCTCTACAAATCCAGTAATATGTAATAATTTATATCATTTCATATTAATAGTAACATTAAAAAAAAAAAAAACATAATTTTATTATTGAAGTAAAGAATATTTGATCCGGTGACGTCACGTAGACAACTCTGATGACGTCACAATGAAAGATTGAGAAACAGCCAGGCCCCCCAAGCTCCGCCATTTTGTCTGGATCCATTAGAAGCCAAAATAAGCCCCCTTGCATAATTCATGAGCCCTATGAATTATGCATTCTGAAGGATGCTCCCCACGAAACGTGTACTGGAATGATGTTCACTACATGGTAAAAGACAATACGCGTATCAGCGTAATTAGAGAGGTCAAATAATCTACTGTACGGAATTATGGGTAATTTATTCATCACGCTGCGCGCTAGCAACGCAAGTGATTCAGCGAATCAGCGTAGATTATTCTGATGCGATCACCGTTAGGTGAAATACGCGCTCGAACTTGTATTATCGATCACCAGTATAACAGCTGGTGTACCCAGAATGCATCGGGAAGTGGACCTCTCGTTGTTGTGTTGTTGTTGTTTTTTAATATGGGGAGTGGCCTTAACTTCATTGAATAAGAAATACTGATCCGATCTTATTCCCTTTTTAGTCTATCAATAACTGGGTCTGTTTTTGTTTTATTAACTCAAACATGCTATAAGCCATATAACAACACATTCTCTGGCTATGATTATACATGTTAAATATGCTAATATATAAAGTGTCCTTATTTTATACAAACAAATTATGTGGCAAAGAGGATGGTTTTTCTCCACCCACTCTCATCGTACCTTAATGATTCCCCTTCTCTCTCTTTCTCTGTCTTTCGTAAATTATCTTCTGCAACTAACGGTTTGTTGTCTTGACTGAACAATCTGTTGCAGTTCCTTTCTGTCTCACTTTCAGTCGTAATACCATTCATTTACATTTACTCGTTATCAACTACGATCAACCATTGATCCATATTCACTCCATTACTGTCCACATTTCACTTGGATTATCTTCACTTTTCCTTTTTGCAGCCTTTGCAGGAGCTTTGAACATTTTTAATGTAGAGACCAGAGAGATCGGAAAATATGTTAATCATTTTATTCGAATTGAAAACGGAAAGTGAAACATTGTTTTTCAATATCTTGACATATTTTTTGTTTAAAGACAATGGAATTTAACAATGGAAATTTTGAATTGGGGCGCCCCCCCCCCCCCCTCAAAAAAACAAAACAAAAACAACAACAAATCAGGAGTGGTACCAGGGTTAGTTAGTTGGGAGGCCCATTTCCTTTATAATTTTATTTTTAGGAATAGTTTTCTCTTTTTTATCAATTTGACATTGGTATACCGTTAATTTCACTGGGAAAACCACCCCTTCCCTTACATATCAATACTGCCATTACTTCTAGCAACAGTAATTCTATAATTCAAAACGTTTTCATTTTCTAAATCCTTCCAATATAAACATATAACAAATATAATATTGTTTACACTTTTGCAACCTGTTACATGGTCCATTTAGAAACAGCACCAGGAAGAGGATAACAAGCCCCCCCCCCCCCCCCCTGTTTTCTTAAGCTAGGAAGTATCAAAACATGATTCTATTAAAATTAGCAGTTTGGATACAACAGGCAATGATGATTAGCAGTTTCCATATTTAGTGCATTTAGAGGGTTGTCTTTCAAACCTTCTTACATACAATACTTGAAGCAGCAATAATGTAATAATCTACAAAACTTCAAATACAGAAGTCCATAGACTGAGGTAAATGAATTTCAACATGTATAATTATAATTATAAATATCATTGATTGATTCAATCTTTGATATAGACTGATAAATCTTTATCACTCAAATTTCAAGGAAATTTCTTTCTGCCCAGCACTCAGTTTCATCCTATAAGATGGTAGTTGACATTGTTAAAATGTCATCAATGTTTATTCATTGATGATTAGTTATCTTTAATTATTTGAAAGTTGACAAGATGATAAATTCATTAGCTTTTTTTAAATGTGGTATTCTACAAACATATAATACAAATAATAAATAAATAGTATGTAAATATTCAAGATTAAACCCATCTCTACTGTCCTCTTTCATTATATGAGGGGGCATCTTTAAGACGTAGTCCCAAGTAGATGTCTTCTGCATTCATCGATGAAGTTGTAGGCTAGTTTTCAGAAGAAAGAGCTGTGATGATAACCCAAGTCTGTTGAATGGAAAAATGAAATAAGATACAGTGTATAAGAAAATAAACAACAACTAATAACATACACCCTGATACCTGCTCTGACAAAAAGAGGAAGGACTAATATTCACTTGGGGTTCTAGTGGGAAAACCTAAACTTTTTTTCCTACAAAACTAGTTACTGACCACATGTTAGATTATTTCTGATGATCCCATTAAGACAATAGGCCTGATGGAGCTTGGATCAGACAAGTATGAAATAAGTAATACTGGTACATGTACAATGTACTTGTAATGTAAACTCGTGGTCATAAATGAATAATACTCGGTTTACATAAAATGACCAAACAACTTGGAACAGAGAATGTACAGGAAATAATGCTATTGTCGGAAACATACGTTATGTAGACTTATATTTCATGTATATTGACATTTTAGTTTTAATCTAAATCACAATTGTGATATTCAGTCAAGTATTCTTTTACAAGTCAATGGACAATGAAAAATATAATTGTCAGATCTGTAACTTTCTGCATGATAAATGTTTCCTACAATAGTTTATTGGGGGTACCTACATGGTATATTAGCACACTTGCTTGTATGAAGTGCAGTAGGCCCACATCTCTAGATATGATTCTGTCAATATCTGTTCTTTATTCCTCTCCTGGGTTTGTAATCAGCATGCTTTCATCATCCACTGTAGAGAAGCATCATCCTACATAAGAGAAAGCAATGTAGGTACTTCAATTAAAAAATGATAATAATAGATACATATCAACCATAATTCATCGTATAAACAGACTTTCGTTAATCTTATGTTGTGTTCTTCTTCATCTTCATTGCTCAAGAAAGGACCACTTACACAAAAAAAGTAATGAGTGGTCCAGTGCTGTATACCCTACATGTATGATCATTATCATTATTATGTAGTGCTTTGAATGTGCATTAGACATCGTTCTTCTACACACAGGACCTCCTGTAAATAAGGACAAACCCCTTTGTAAACAAAGAAAGGGAAGAACTAGAATAAAATATTCCCTCCACTATACACACTTGAAACATACACTTAGTTCCATTTCCTTTTTAGTGAATTAATAGGTGGTCGTTTAATATTTGTGTGCTAAATATCCTGAAAATTTTACCTGCATGGGACTTTCAGCTTCATCTTGAAAATATAAGAAATGTTGTAATGTCTACTCATCAGTTAGCTCCTTCCAGCTCTTCATCAGTTTCCATCTGTTGGAACAAAAAGAAAACAAAATCAATACGACAATCAAGGCGTCCCTTTCTCCTTAACAAAATAAAAATAGATCTAGCATAAAAGCTATTTTTCATGTCATGGTTGGCCTTAATTTTAATATAGTGTGGAAATCAACATTCCAATTTAATGGACCACATTACAAAGTAAAATCAAATGGAAGATTTAACTTGTGCCTCAAAAAGTGCTTCATATGGCCTATAAATATAAAGTAGTCTTAAAGGTACTATATGTCCCATTTGCAGGCCCAAAAAATGAAAAAGTTAAATTCCAACTGCATTTGAAAGATAATACTAATTTAGAACTTTCCTAAAAAAGGTGGGGCTTGAAAATGTCTTCAAGTGGGAAAATAACGACTATGAGTTGTCAAATCGACTTTAGGGCTATAGAGCCCAAAAGTAATAGTCTTGATTTTCAGACAATTGTACTGAATGGTCATACGTTTTATGCTGCCCAAAGATTCTATCAGTTTAATCTTGGCCATCACAAGAAGTGGGTTATTGATGTAGACAAATACTCATGTACCCTTTACAACTCTTTTCATGTATGTTATTACCAAAGAAGAAAAAAGGCCAGTCAGTCACTCAATAGTGTCTGACAGTGAAGTCTAGCAAGTAAACAGGTTTCCTTGCATAATTTGAATATGAGGACACTGCTAACGTTTAAATTTCACAGATAGGACATACATGACATATTCATAATTCCTGCAAAGTTCTACAGCATTTGAGGTTGGCTGCAAAAGGGACATAGTACCTTTAAGTAGAATTGGTTTATTAAGACGAGAAGAAGTGGACTTCATAAGTAAACATAATTGTGGACAAGGGGTCTTCTCTTACACAAATAGATTTATCAACATGAACTGCACAATTCAAAGAAAAAAAATCTCTAATAATATTTTAAAGTAATAACAGGAGTCAGAAGCGTACGCAGGGGGGGGGGGGGTAAACCCCCCTACCTTCATTTTTTTTATGTGTATGTTTTTCTGGAAACCCCCCCCCCCCCTTTTTTAGTGTTGTTGTTTTTTTTTTTTTTTTTTTTTTTTTAATACAAAAAAAAATCCAAATGGATGACCTAAACCCCCCCCCCCCCCCATGCTTATTTAGTGGCTGGCTGAGTCGTTGCGAAATTTTTGGTCCGATTTCAAAATGTTAACCCCCCCCCCCCCCCCTCCCCTCCCCCTTGAAAAAATCCTGCGTACGCCACTGATAGGGGTCTAGATTTAGATCTAGTAGACTCTAGTAAGGTCAAGGTCTAGACTAACTTGACAAGCATGCTGGACCCACACAAAATCTAATTATTAAATAAAGAAATCCTAGTGTTGATGTTTTTTGAATACTTTTTATTAATAAGTTCCAGGTTTACATCTAAATGAAATAGGATTTGGAGTTGTTTGATTATCAATGGTCACAGATAATTTTGGTCTATATAAAGTTGACACGGATGCAACTAAGCGAACGGATGGCACTAAAGTAAAGCCATCAGAGTCAACATCTACTAAAGATTTTAACAAGAATTAATCCACTTGGATTATCAAAAAAATCATGCTTCAGAGATTATTGTAAGGTGTAACGTTAAATCTATATTTAAATTAAATCGATGATTGGTGAATTAGATTCATGATGACGATCAAATCTCAAATAAAACTTGATTAGAAAGTTTGATCTTGATGCAGATGAGCACCGAAATTCCCTGGGGTGGGCCTGGCAGAACGGCCTGGCCCCTAACTGGAGTACTAGGGTGAAATGACGGCAAACTGCAGTCAAACTACTTCATGACGATGAAAATCAAAGTCCAATTTCAAGAGCAATAATTTCCTAGTCTTTTCCCCAAAAATCTGTTGAGAACGGTCTCACAATGTAACAAAATTACCGTAGATCACAAAGACTATTGCAGCTTTTTCAAAATTGATGACTAAATTCACTTAATCTACTCATATTTCAATCAATTACTCACCCATTCTCAATGAACTAAATCTTCTCAGTTTGTGCGAGTAGCCTGCGTCGTGCATAAATCTGCATAATTAAAGTGACGCAATGAGGTCAAATATATTATCCGGTTTCTTAAACGATACTATCGATAAAATACATATTCATGAGGCTCATATCCAATCAAAAAGCCGCCTCGGGTGCTTATTTTGTCTTCAAATGATCCAAAAGAGGCGGAGCCTAATCACATTCGTCTGCATGGTTTCCGCGCGTGCTGCTTTCCGTCTAGTAATTATATTTAAACGTCTTTGGAAACAGCTGACTGGTTGCGCTGCGCGTTAATAAAAATTGAGGATGCGTGTTGGATGCATTCCACCAGCGTACACGCCTGTTACCATGACTTGATGAAAAAATAAAGCTATGATGATTTGAAATAAACCTTTTCCAAAGAACAAATTAAAGATGTAAAAGCGATGATAAAACTATAAAAAAAGATGATCCAAAATAAATTCACAGATCCCAAAAGACTCCATACACTGAGCTTTTAAAGATCTCGTCCGAACTCAACCACGGTTAGTCTCATTAGGGATAGGGTTAGGGTTAGGGTTAGAGCTAGGGTAAAATGACAAAAAAATGACCGTATTTGTTAGCCCGACTCCATGTAGAGCTGTAATTGACTGAAGTTAGGAACCGAAAATAATAAAACACCCTAAAAGTATAGTAAACCGATACTAAAATAAATAACACCTAACTTAACGTGTGGGACACAGTTGGGATACTCACTGTTGCCATTTGACAGCTGATGCAATTTTTGAACACAGGAGAACGGAATTGCTCGTGGTTCGCTATCTTTCTTGTTCCCCTCTGCTTCTAGGATCTGCTTGAATTCTCTTTTGGTAACTTCAGGAACATCTTCCCTCGTTAAAATGAATGCAATAGATCGCTGGATGCGTTCTGTTATCAGCACAAGAGACGACATCTTCGCGGAGTGCAGCGGCGGTAAATTTCTGATCAGAGGCGCGCTGACGACGTCGAGGTAGGCCGCTAGGTTAGGCTAGCCCGAGGTCGAGTATAGGAACCGATCGGAGCTGGAGAGCTAGAAATCGCGAAATGAAATAAAGTATCCATACTACACACACACACATTGCTGCATTACTATCTTGGCTGTGTTATTGATTCTCAACATTTCAAACACCACTGTACAAAACTCAACTGATTTCACTCAAAATCGGTACTTTAGTAACAATTGATGACATCTAAATAGCGGTAAAATACAAATTTTTCCAACTTTCTGATGTTAGAAAGAATAATTTTTGCCGATTAGCCGCATCGGTATGATTGTGTGCATTTGTGTGTTGGGAGTGTATTGACTATTCATGTATTTAAATGCTGCTTATTAAAGGGCCCATGACATCGAAATACAAGTGTATTCCTGTTGGTGTGCAGTCCTGCATACATCTCATATTTTAATATGTAAACTTCTGAATTTGTTTCATATAGATTTTTAAATATTTTTTAAAATATTTTTTTCTTCAAACTTGCTAGCTCCACCCCAAAAACCTCCAGATCTCATTCCCCTTGTGACATCATCTGTCAGTCATCAATGAGCTAACTTGAGAAAGTGGTATCTTTGCCAAAGTCGACCACCTAGCTGTTACAATACATAATACAATAGCAACATATAAGTTGCAATGTCGGACCAGGGAGGTGAGACTCAGACATATGCTGACAGCATCATCAGGAAGACAAAGGCAATGATGATGTATTGTACCAGTGGCGGATCCAGGGGGGGGGGGCAGGAGGCACGTGCCCCCGGCCAAAAAATGTACTGGCAAACAGGGACGTGCCCCCCCCCCCCAAAAAAAAAAAAAATAAATAAATAAAAAAAAATTAAATAAAAAAAGTGAACTCCCCCCCCCCCCCCCCCCCCACCCCCCACTGAACCCCCTTATTCAGCGGCTGGCTGAGTCTTTGCGATTTTTATGGACAAAAACAAAAAATATATGTCCTCTTACACCCCCCCCCCCCCCCCCCCCCCCCCCCCCCCCCCCCCCCCCCCCCCCCGGAAGAACTTCCTGGATCCGCCCCTGTGTACATATGTGTGGAAGCATGCAATTCTATTATGAACGTGTGCTAAGCTGGGGGAAATTACATACCATTGTCTATTCTAGAATATTAGTTTAGTCTGCATACATGTCTGACATAGCAACTTATATGTTTGTGGTATTATGGTCAACTTTGGGGGAAGCTCAGATTTGCTTTGGACATGGGTGTGCTGCTAAAGCCTTGTAACGCCTTCCCATTTTCATTTTGGCAGAAAAAGGTATCCATATTTGATGATTTTTCTCAAAATAAAGGCCCATTTGATTTTCCCCCATTTTTAAAGTGCATGCACATATATATTATGTTTTACATGCTGGTCTTTGGATCTTTTATTAGGGGGGAGGGGGGTGGTTGTATATGGAAATCCATTTTATACTTACCGGTAATTGTACAACGAAACTCTCCTGTTCGTGAGCAGATCAACATAAAGCAATTCCATCACTCGCCCCGCACACCCAACACCTTCCAACCTAACGTACAACTCAAGAAGACATGCAAGTTCATTAATGTGATTATCACAAATTTTGTATATATGTATGAAACTCTGGCTGCATGTTCCCATTCTACACATCTATTCATGAATGAAGATCTTGCCCTACAATGTATGTGGGTTAATTACACCATATTTAAAGGGACTCTTAATTTGGCTTTGATCAAGATATGTATGCATCAAACATGTCCACATTTTACCTGAAAAATCAATATAAGCAATCTTTAACCATAAAATAAAATTTCCCAACCTCACCTTTTAGTTTTGTTCTGTAGGAATTAATTATACCAGCCTATACATGTGTAAGTTGCACTTGATATTCTCCCCCTCTCCCTCTATCTCTCTCTCTCTCTCTCCCTCTCTCTTTCCATCTCGATCTTATCCTTCTCCATTCTTTCAATTTGTTTATTTCCTGTTTTAAAGTTGGAATAGAAATAAAGTGCCCATGCAAATTCTTCAAATCTCACAATCTCGTACCAACCTTTCAAGAACAAACAAATGATCCCAAATTCTAAGATCACAGAAAATGTACTAATTCACAAACAAAATATTGCAGAGAAAACTCTATGACACATCTTTATTAATGCCTATGATTCATGTGAAAAAAAAAGAAATATTTGTACACACTGGACACTTACTGCAGTAGACTTCAAACATTGCACAAAGAAGATGGAACAGAATGTGGTATGACTTGATTAGGCCTAAAGGGGAAATCCATCCTGATATTAACTAATTTGTTTTTCTTGTTTTTCTGCTTATTAAAACCAACTTAATATTAGGGTGGACTTCCTCTTTCAAGCCTGAGTAAACAGAGAGAGAGAGAGAGAGAGAGAGAGAGAATTTACAAATAAAAGGAGAGGGAAGGGGATGAAGGAGAGCAGATAAGGTGAAGGTATGGTAAAGGAATGCATAGAGGGGTTAAACACTTTTTTTTTTAAAGGGATCTCCGTTCTAAAAGATTCCACAATAAAATGTATTCCTGTATACCGTAAGCAATCGTAATTTTCTGTACAAAGATACTTGTGAACGACTGTGACACATACATTTTTGCAAGCTGCTGTTTTTCCAATAGCAGGCAAATTACAATACACGTTTACATACTTATGCATTGCCAGCACATTTTTGTCTGTAGTTTAATTTTGCAACCCTTACAAAAATTCAAAAAATATCAGCATACATTATAGTACATCAAGTGATTATCTTGCTGCTAGCTAACCTTGGTATGTGCTGATTTCTTGGAGGTATGCCTCATGCCACTGCAAATCACCCTTACATTTGATTTTGCAATCTCTGTAATAGTCTTCCTTTGTTTCTAGACTGTTTTCCTACATACAAAGCCACTGCATCCCAGTTAACGAACATATATATGCAATTTTCATGAACTTTCCTTCATCTCTAAAAGATTAGATATCACACAAAAATTATATAATATATATGAATTCACAGTTGACCAATCATTATCAATCCTGCATTGGCTTTGAGGATCACTTTATACAACTGTCAAAAGTGAAGCATAGCCCTGGTGGTGCCACTCATATCGAAGGGTAACGCACTAACAGTAACAAAGTCGAAAATGACTCCTTAATTTCCTGCAAACTTTCAAGAAACTTTTCATCAAAATAAGATCCCAGTATGCCTAAAATTGGTTTTAAAAATGTGCTCTAAAATAATCCTATTTTTGACATATTTATTACAAATTCACAAAATATACCCTATTTTGTAAAATTTACCTTATGTTACATGAGTCAAAGTTCTTTTTTGATGAACTACGGGATCCCTTTTCATAAATTTCTTGCTCTTTTCAACAAAAAATACCCTTTTCCAAATCTGTATCGTTTCAATCCTGAAAAATTATCCCCTATCTTTGCCAAGTTTCTAAGAATCATGGGTACACAATGTCAGTATGAGTGACACCACCGAGAATACAGCAGACCGACTACAAAGACTTTAATAATAGTCTCTAACAAATGTATGTTGTCAACTTTGCAAGTGCTTCATTCATCATATACATTTTCCTATGTACCAAATATAAAGTCCAGAAAATCATAAAATATGCAGCTACAAAATTGAATTTCTAATAGTAAAAATCCATTTACATGAGGAATATATGTTACACATGCCTAAATTCCACAAAGAATAGAACATACATTTTTATCTTGGATGACAACTAATCTGAAAATCAGAATGTCAAGCTCTTGAAAATGAAAGCCCACATCACCAAGTTGTCATGTAATTTTGTCATTTGTCATTTTGTGCATTATTATTTTAAATAACTTATAACTTTAATCTTCTCAAAATCTAAACCTTGGTAACATATGAGCATTCAATGAAAATATGATAGCAATTACATGATGATCTATAATGATTAATGAATGTCATTATGAACCTCTGTTAAATTTACAAATAGCAGTTACTGAAGTCAGATTAGAACACGAGATGGAAGATCCCTCAAAATGGAGTTTCTTTCTGATGAGGCTTTCTAAAAACATAAAACTATTCAAATATGCAGCTTCATGGTTTTAAGCAGGCATTTGCACAAGTGTGTTCAAACTGTAATATCTATACATTCCCACACTTTATACATGTAAGTAATGGGATTCCCTCCTTTACAACCACGCTTCAAAAGCTATTATTTATTATTTCATACAAGTGAAGCCGCAGCTATGTTGTTGCAACATACGGGTGAAACTGCTTGTTGTGAGTGTTTCACCATACATTATGCATTACACTAATGGAAAAGTGGTTCAAAAAATGTGAAGTGTATAACACTATCCATCATCAATAAATAACACCATTTTTTTTTGCGTCATATCTTAAAATCTAAAAAGTTTCACTAAAAATCTGCAATTAAGTAGTAGCATTCATACTACTGGTATCTAAATTCAGATGCAACAGTTTTGTGCTTACAATAATAGGCCTCATGCTTTATTGAATACTTTCAATATCATAATTATATGTTCTACATTTTGATAGTGTTCTTAATCTTCATTCAAGTTAACCAGGCTTGATACAAAACGCAAGGAAAGATATGAAAAAAATAAAAGTAACACATCTCACTAAACAGTTCTCTCTCTACATACATGTATCATGTTCGCAGACATTAATAAGAAAAGTGTTTTCATTACTATTTACATGGTATATATCTAGCATTATATACATACATTTACAATTCAGCGTATCATCTGTCTGGCAGATAGATTTCAGTTGACATCGTCGATTGATTGATTAGAAAAAAGGAGACATCTGGTTGACTGTCATTACTTGTCAAAGATCCTTCCTGCTGAATCCTTCCTTTGAATTGAGTGTTCAATAAAATGCCAGCATTCTGATGTACCACAAGCAACCATTTCCACTTTTTAGAAATTGCGTGTGGATTGGTTTTAATATGTCCATTCAGGTGTCAATTGGTGAATGACGTCATAAGCTATGGTCCTTTGGTCGATGGCGCGCCCGTTTGACGGCTTCCACACGCTTTTGTCTGTCTGAGAAGCGGTTTCCCATTGTGTGAGTGAGTGGAGGTAGTGAGAAGCTGTCACGTGTAACACTGAAGGCACCTTCTGGTCTGTTAATCATAAAGAGCACAAACAACCTTCAGACTACAAGCAGTAATGATTTATATCGAATACCACACTTTAAAGGTTGAACTAATGATTTGTTGGCATTTCTTCAAGTATGTGTGTGCTTGCTTCTTTTTTTCTTCTCTTTTTTTGTGGGGGGGTCTACCTTTAATACTGTGTGCTCTAATTCAAAGTCACAAATCCACAATGTTTCATAGGTACTAAGGAAACATTGCTACTGATCGATCAAGTTCATTGAATAAAATAATGAAATCATTGTACATGTTGACAAACAACTAGCAAATATTGACTAGAGGGCATGCACCTGGTGCAGACTCTTATTCATTCAACCAATCAATCAAGACTTTACACATTCAGTCATGCTATACAATGAATGCAATGCCATAGTGCGTACTGCATAAACAAGTTAAAGTGGTTTTAAAATAATACAAAGATGTCAGAATGTCTACATCACAAAGCAGATTCAATGCTTGCATTATCTCAGCTTATTTCATATATTTCATCACCAATTTGCCTTTCATTAGACTTTCTCTATTCCAAAAGAAGCCAGAAAGTGAAAGCCTTCCAGAAAGAAGGGAAAAACAAGGATTGCATTTTAAATTTTGTTCTTTTGTAAAGGCACTTGGAGCTGTTTGTAAAAATCTCATTCACCCAAAACTTGATCAAGAGCAATTTTCACTTAAAAAAAAAAAAATCAATAATTAACATTTAAAAAATAGTGATGTCAGTACGAAAGTATTCCTCATTTTATTTGTTTCATACATAAATACTATAGCCATAGACTACACTGATTGCTTGCTCGATATTGAGGCTATGAGTTTAAACTGTTTATTTCCTCTGTGACTATTGATTTCGATGACAAGAATCGGTCTGACCTCTTCACACCTTCAACCACAGAGTGACATTCAATCAATAATACCACAATGCCTGCCTATGGCACCAGATCAACATTCTACTCTGATCTGATTCATCTCACAAAGTCTCAATTGACTTTCACCAAAGAGTAGCAAGCAATACTGCAGTCCATGTCAAATTGGTTCTAATCAAATTCACATTATGTATTTCGAACACCAAGGAAAATAAGTTCTCTTTGTTTGAACAGCTGTTCATTATATTCCTCAAAAGGATGTAATAATCACAGGTAAATGATACTTACAATTTTCTTGTTGGATTCCTCAGAGCGATTTTGGGTAGCTTTGCATCCCTGATAGTAAATAAAAAATAATTTACAAAAAGTGCATGTCATTGGACATATGTAGTTTTTATCTATTTGAAGTATAAATCTGAAGCTTGGGGAAATTTCAATAGAATGTCCTGAGAGGGAAACAAATGATTCATATATATATATCAATGACACACTAATAGGCTAATAGTCAGGTTTAGAAAAATGCCCACAATCTACATAAAAAAATCATCATTATATTACTTGAGTTGAACACATCTATATATAATATTAAGTACTTTGTTACTGCAAGGAAAGGAGTCAAAAAGGCACTATACCAAATACTGTGTGGATAGGATTAGATTTGAATATTCAATTCAATTCAATTTAATTTATTTCAACCATGAAAATTCATATACAATGTGTTTTTAAATAGCAATACTCTGCTTTTTTGTTAGTGATCACATTCAAAGCGTTGTCATTTCCTCTTAGTTAAAAAACATGCAATAAATATCATTTTGTTACTCTCCTAGCAGCTGATCATGAATGGATGTACAATAAACTTGTGGAACAAATTATGCTTAACCCTTTACCAGCTTTCATGGCCTGTGGAACAAGGGGGACTGCCAGAGTTGATTATTGTCCATTAATGATAAGGCCTACATGTATAATATACTCCAAGCAATGTAGCAATCATGCTTTGATCTATGACAAGTAATAAGTTAATCAGACTAATCTCTACTTACCCAGATACATTCTGCTCCTCAGCAATGTAAGCCTTAGCCATGAGATAGGCATCAGGTGTCCACTTATGTGAATACAGCGTCTCTTTCAGATCGGACTTGATTCTATTCAGCTGCACAGACAGAGAGGAAGAGAATTACATTGGCTATGAGTATTGATAGATAGTTGCACATTTGATTATTGAAAGCTATAACCCTTTAGCAACTAAACCGCCCAAAACCACCCCTCCTTTTACTTACTGAACCACCCAGAACCACCCGTCCATTTTCATCCGTTTTTAATGAGCTGTAGTATCCCTCTATGGGGTCCACCGTGATAATTTTAAATGTGCGTAATCCTTTTTATGCCTACAGTAGGATTCTGCATAGAAAGATAGCGCATGTTTCATATTGTTCAGAACAATGTCAAAATGAGACCAATATTGCAACATCTTCCAGTGAGTAGTAGACTATTTTTTACAAAATCTCTAGTTGCTAATGGGTTAAATGGTGTTTATCATTGACAGATACTCAGTACATGTAATTATTTCTATGCACATTGAAAGGGTTCCACCTACCCCAAAATTAATAACAATCCAAATAACATCAAAACCTCTAAGAGGAGAAGCCCCCCCCCCCCCCCCCACCCCAAAAAAAGGACACTATAAATGATATGATTAGAGTAACCTCAAGCTTTGCTATTTTGAAAGTTACCACAGCCAGTAAGTGAGAAATATACAGTGAAAGTAATGTGTGTGGCCCTCCAGTCAGGACTCCACAATAGCTTGGAAAGGGGTCTAGATCAGGCCTTCTCAACTGGCGGCGCGCGCCACTTGTGGCGATTGCAGTCAGTCGGAGTGGCGCGCGACTGTTGCAACAACAACAACAACAAAAAGAAAGAAAGAAATTATATATTTTAGAATTAAATACTCAGCTAAATCAAGAAGTTGCAGTCGAATTTGAGCCCAAAATGCCTGCTTAACAAACAGGAAGAAAGCGGGAATTTATTGTTTTTTACCATTTTATACGACTCTAAACGGGCTCTAAACCTAATCTCTGAACAACAGTTAGCTTACGATGGGCTACCAATTTTAACATTGCCAATCTCTGGAGACAACTTGTTTTTGATTGTTTGATTTTCACTTTATTTTGACATTTCCCTTGTTTATCGCACCCCCAGAACTACACATAAATTTACCTCCAGTGTAATTGTACCCATGAATTATACTAATTTTTTCACATTAATATGAAATTAGGATTTATTATATTGTGGAATGAAATGGTGTTAAAAATGCCCCGGTTGGGCCTTTAAAAAGCCCCAAAATCCACCAGCTTCAGAGGGCTCTGCCCTCTGCTACCCCATGTTGGGACTTTGCCCCTCTACCCAATCCGTTTTTTGGCTCGGTCGCTACGCTCCCTCGCAGCACAGTCAAACATACAGGGTGGCACTTCAACTACAAATTCTTTTCGTTTTGGCACTTCTAATAAACTAGTTGAGAAGGCCTGGTCTAGATTGAACTCTTTTGAATCTGTTTGCATGAGCCCTACTTTTAAAAAAAAAACTCTCCCTTCTTGTTTTTCTTTTTTTAAGGGGAGGATCAGACTTTATATTTAGGGTTCCTAGGTGTTTCGGCGCCTGCTCTAGTGTCAGTCTGACATAAATTACATTTTGTAAAGCAGAGAAGGTATAGGCATCTTACCTCTTGGCCCTGTCTATCATGGCTATCTTTCATATGCCTGATGATCTGTGAGCATTCTTCCATGGTTGGTGGCCTGGGCTGTTTATCTCCTGCTTTCTGTACCTGAAGGGGATTTAGACTGACTGGGTAGAGGGGTGAGATGGCACTATGATGGGGGCTTGTTTGCTGACCCGTCTCCTGACTCTGGGGTCTGTTAGGTAGAGAAACAACACAATAATTAATACATGGTAAATAAGAAGGAACTTAATATTCAAGGGAAATGCATTCTTAACAGAAAGCTACTCTAAAAGAAAGTAGAAAATTCAGAGAAGCAGACTGATGAAAGTTAGTCATTCATGGCAAAAAAAACTTATGAATAGGGCATCCTTGGACAGAAAAAAAGTTACGGTACTCTTTCCAAAGAAATATTTTTCAAGGCCACACTAATTATGACTGTTTAATTACAAGCTACTAAAGTTGGGTATACCTTCTTTTTTTTTAAATGAACTGTACAGGTCTGTCAGCCCTGCAGTGTGTATTCTACTAGTGCATTCTAACTATATAAACACCATGTTATTTTGGGTTTTCTCTCAGACAGAGATGAAGGAGGCAGATTCCATCCCCACCCCCATATTGGCTATTCCCAGTTGATATATGGCACTACCTGATACCTGTTAAATGAATATTTAATAAATCTGCTATCAAAAGATGTGTCGGGGGGGGGGGGGGGGGCTCTTGGCTATAAATTCATCGGGACAAGGCCAGGTTGGGGGGTGGTGTATTCTGCCCACTGCTCACAGGGCTAAGTGATGTCCATACCCAATATTATTCACATACATGTAGCTATGAAACTATCTTCATGAAAGAAAAATACACAAAACAGATTCAAATCTACAGAAAAGCATTTTCATAACTTAAAAGTACTGATTTGGGAGTTAGCAAAACCATTATTACAATGTAGGTATTCACCTTTTCTCTAATGTTTCTTTGAGTCGTTGTTGAAGGTATGCATTAAGGTTTCTAGCTTCTTGTAATCCTGCTGTAAGTTCTTTCACTGTCCTCAGCTGGTCTTTCTTGTGGGCTGAAATACAGAAAAATATCATCTCATAATCTCATTCCAAATAGAAGCAAACTGGCAATAATGCTTTCCATGCATATGTGCAGTGACCTACGTTCTTGACGGAGCTTACATGGGTTGTGACACAGGTCTGGATTTCTTTAAGGGATCCTAAGAAAGCTCTAACACCTGTGCTTACTAAAAATGGCCAAATTGAATTTTCTTTGTAGACATGTCGTTTGAATACTATATGGAGCTATACCGGTAAGAGCAATATACTTATAACTAATTCAATTTTTTTCTTTCTTTTTTTTTTTTTTTTGGGGGGGGGGGGGGGGCGTATTCTATAGGGTCTATTTTATGACTACTATTTTTAATAGTACCTCCCCTTTAAAATGCCTGAGAAACTTGCACAACCCAGGGCTGTAAAAATTCACAACTTATCAAAAAGAAAAAAACAAGAAAAGGAGATCAAATATTTTGTTGATAGATTTCAATTCATCACCTTAAAACTTTTTAGAGAATAATTGCCATTCACTCAGGTGTTTTGAATTAATATTTGCTTTGATTTAATATTATATTTTTTGAAGTGCTAGATAACTTATTATTATGAAAAAGCATACTTACAAGGTGAACCACTCTTACTGTCATCTGATTTTAATGAAGAGCCTGACAATTCTGTATAGTGATAAAGAACAGTTATCGAAAATATGGTGTAATTCATCTTAAAATATAACAATAAAATGATGATTGCTAATGAAAACCTGATGTCAAGTTAAAAAGAAGGTTGAGTTCTGGGGAGAGGTGAAAAATACTTTGTGAGCATTATCATTGTTATTATGCAAATGTGGAAGAAGATCAGAGAAAAAATATTCCTTGAAAAGCATGGCTCTTCAAATGCCTTCATATTCTAAATAAAAGTAACTGCTTAAAAATGAGGCCCGATTTTTATGCCACATGTTTGTGTAGTAAATACATCTTTCTGTGTACACTGCTTGTCACCTTACCAAGAGTGCTGTCAAAGACTGGGCCAAATTTCTTATAATTTTGATGTCTTCAGAACCTTGCAGTACACGCCATTACTGATATGCTACATGATCAACTTTTTCTGATCGATTCCACACCGTTTCTTTAACAATGCAATCGCATGACCAGAACTCAACTTTATTTTTAATCATGAGTTGTACTATCAAAACACAACTATATCCAAAAACAAATAAAGATAACAAAAATAGTACCAGTGTAAAGCATATTGACGTATTCAAGCTACTGGCTATATATACGTGTATGTAAATACTTTTATATCATCATTATTGTCTGTTTTTCAATCACAAATACATTTCATTGATCTGGTTTTGAAATTAAGCCTTTCTAAATCATGATGTCTACATGTAAATAAGTATTCATATACTGTATATACAAGTACATAGTTCAGTCCTTTACTTTTTTGTTCCATTGTATCTAATTACACAATGCTATACATCTTACCTTTGTTAGGAGATTCTGTTCCAGTCATAATAACTTTGAAATGGAGCTCTGTGGAAAGAAAATGAGAGGATAATTCAATGAATAGCTTCATTATTACCGGTATCTGGTACACGTACATTGATCTCTAACTTTCTTTATCATTATGTTTGCTAACAGTAAACGGTAACTTGAAGCAAAAAGAAAGAATATCAAACAATGCCACCGAATTAATATTCATATAAAGTTATTTCATTCTTGTGATGCCATTGTTTTTATGCCACATCTACATACATGTATGCATGTAAACACAATAATGTCTCATTCTGCAAATATTTTAAGAAACATGTACCCAGTCCTTGCAGTGGCAATTCATCATTCTCTGACCCTTGCCCGTATTACAATTGTCAAGGTATATCTACATGTACATGTATATCCATCATTTCTTAATCTGTGTTGTATGCTAAACTTTTACCAGAACTGGAAATACATGTTACACATTCAATTCACACCCACCTTTGTTTTCTCTCTTGAGTGCATCAATTTCTTCATGAAGACTGCTAAGCACATCTCTTTGTTGTCTCTTCAAGAATTCAATGCTTCTCTCAAGATACTGCTGCTGCCTATGAGGATCAACATCTCCTACTGTAGCAAATGCACCATCCACACCCAATGCATCCTGCATCAGACCCTTGGGTGAAAGAGAGGCTGGTAATACCTGAAAGTGGAAGCACAAAAGTAAAGGTAAGCATTCGCTTTTAGCATATTAAAGTGGACACTGTATAAAATGTGTAACCCTTGTATGACAACTTGAGGGTTGATAAATTACTTTCTGAATACAGATCAATAAAGTCCATTCAATTTGAAAAAAAGAAAAAGGAGAGAATGTGCAAAGCTGTGCAGCTTTAGTCCTTTCAGAGGACAACATTTTGCCATTTGGCTAATAAATTCATGTTGAGCGTTTCAATGTCTGGAAAATATATTTTCAAAGCTATCATAATATTTCCACTTTCAAAATTCAATACTTTAACCCTTCCTCTTTTAAAAAGAGTATAATTATGTTTTATATAACCAAAGCAAACCAAGGTAGGGGTAAAGTCACTGCATCCACATGTAAGTTACAACTGAGATTGAATGCCAGAAGAGCTAGCACTAACCTGAATCTGATCTTTGAGGAATGGCTTGGGGTATCGTGCCTTGTCCAGGGTATGTACCCTAGGCCACTGTGGTAGATTCTGCAATGGAGGTAGGCTCATTGACGTTACAGGCATCTGGGTTTCCATCCGTGTTCATGTATCTTAAAAAAGGGTTCAGTGTTGTCCACTCCTCTGTCTAGTTGAAATCGTTGTATCCACAAAAGAAATGTTCTAGATTTACTTCCCTTTTTGTTGTTGAAAACTTAGGTGTGTTGTACTTGTATCCTTGTCTTGATAATCACAATAAAGGTTTTCCGTCTTTCACTGCAACTGAAAAGAGAGAAAGTTACTTCATTAATAAGTTTTTATTTTTCCATCACTTCAGTGAGACAGGACATATATGTAGCTATTATAAATATGGAATTTGATCTAAAGGTGATGAACACTGATTTGGTCTAATATAAGCGGACGCTCACGAGTGCGTGAAGTTAGCGACTGTAATCTTAGATCCTCATTCAGTTAATTTAAGCAATTCATCATTACAGTCGCTAACTTCGTACACGTGCGCACGCCCGTACCCTACCGTCGGCCTACGGCCTACGGTATGCAAATAATGCAATTGTATTGTGCAGCAGTGAGAAGCCTGTGAGAAAGTGTATATTTCATAAGTCTTCGTTTTTAGGAAAAATACTCCAAAAAAGGTAAGAAAATTGACACGAAACAGTTAGGTGAGAAACATAACGACTTTTAAATTGTGACCATTATTTGAACAATTGATGAATATTTAGTCGATTTTGGGTATGTTTTAGTAGTGTACACACACGCCGGAGTTACAGGTCAAACTATGGATATGATTCTGAATTAGCACCAGATTGTGTTTTGTGATATCTCTCGAATTCTTTGGTGATAAATCTGTTTAATGAGGATCTGAGACATTAGGTTTAGATAACTTCACACAGGCGCGTGCGTGCCCGCAACCCACCATATTGGTTTGAACTTGTATTGTGCAGCGGTTTGCCGTGAAACCTGTGAAAAAGTGTATACTAATATCAATGAATTCCGAAAAATCCTCTAAAAAGGTAGATCTAGACATAAAACTTTTAACTCTAACTTTATTTGGACATTTGATGAATATTTACTTCATTTCGGGTAGATCTATGTTTTAGTAGATCTAGGGTATCTCCACGCCGGAGTTAGACGGGTCAAATTTTGGATAGGTTTCTGAACTAGCAGCTAAGTAATAGCGCCGACTAATCTAGATCCTTCTGTCTAAAAAGAAGTTTGCAATGGCAACATATCGCTAATGCAGATTCGACGTGGTCGCCAATTTCATAATCATGATATTAATATTATTATAGATCTAGATTCTAGGCCTATTAGTCTAGATCTAATCATCTTCAACTCAACTTCTCAAGTTCAACAATCTATGAATGATGAATCAACGAAATTAAATAACGTTCATAACAACATGATATCATATCAGTAGAGGTCTTAGGCCTAACAACACTCTCGTCTCAATCTCCTTCTCATTCTGTTGTTATTATCTCTAGAATCTAGACTAGTCTAGACCTAGATCTAGATCTAGATCTACTTATTAATAGATTCTATTAGTTACTCACCATTAGTCGTGTGGCAATCAAAAACATAAGCAACATCAGCTCAAATCCAGAGGGGAATAGCAATTACAATTTTGTTCACTGATCTCAAATCAATTCACTTCAGAAACTACAGGAGTAGGCCCTACAGAAAATTATGACTGTAGCTTACTCGTATCACACGACCACGTACAATGTATGAGTCTATGGCGTTACCATGTAACAGAATACAGGTTGAATAGGCGCCGCAAGAGATAGCTAGCTGGATGTGGATATTTTTTGTGTACATAACTCACTGACTAAATTCGCTGACCGGATATTTTCAGATCGACGTACAGCGAATGATGGTTCATCCCGAGTTCAGCGAAAAGCCCACTTAACTCGCGCTGCCTGGCAACAGGTATAAACACCTGCAGCGCAGCTCTCCAGCCTTCAATTGTGAGAAATATATTGATCTCACCCAGTAGATTCAAAACAATGACATTGATTATCCGAGTTAAAACCTCATTCGCCTTATGCGGTTATATTGCCGGTAACGTGATTCATCAGCAGTTTTATGACAGTGATATTCAAACCGGCATAATTTACGATCGATCGAGAGTATAATAATTCATGTTTTATGTCCGGTAGATAAGAAGAGATATAACAAAAAATAAAAACTAGACAATGCCATATACGGGGCCATGTATAAACCTACAATAAGATCATAAAAATGAAATGTAAACCTTAAAGCCCGTCTGCACTAGTTTGGCCAGAGGGGATTAGACGTACCTCACTGCAAGGTCACTGCACTGACAGGTGGTTATCTCATCAAATCAACTCCAACTAACATGAGAAAAGGGGGATCTTGGAAGATGAACAGGTATCAATTATGCGCATAGTTGGGCGCAATTAGCTATAAGTAATGCAGTGGGGCTTTAAGAGAGATGGTATTTTTCCTGAATTTGTATTGCAGTTGCAGATACAAGTGACGAGATATGGTGAGGCCCAATGAATTATTGGTCAAATAGAATTAACGAACATTACACAACATAGTGGACCGTTTTTGTTGTTGTGTTTTTGGCTTTCAGTCTAATAAGTTCTTCAGTTTAATCAGCCGAGGTTGTCAAGTTGTAGTACAGAAGACCGTGGACCGTATAGTGGACCGTTTGGGTCTAGCTGTATATAATATATATTGACATTGAGACGCATGTACCTTTATTGGGGTTGGGGGTAGTGGCCTAACTACGTGCCCCCATCGAATGACAAAAAACAGAACGTGAGATGAAAAAAATGATACAGATAGCTCGAAAACGCTCTTCAAAGGTAATACTATATGTGAATCAGTAACGGGTGGGCGGGGGGGGGGGGGGTAACATGATAAGTCTTTAAGAAAATTGGTTGTAAAAGGTGCATAATTAAACGGTTATCGAACATTGCTTTGGGTGATCCGATCTGCGTCATCTATGAAGCGTACAGCAGATAAGAAAAATAAATGGAGATAGGAGTAAAAGATGTAAGACATGCGGGAAAAGAGACAGAAAGGATATATTATGTATGTTTGTCCGTTTCACTTTAAAATTCAAACATCCCCTTCCAGCCTATAATCATTCATTCTACCCTCTCAAATTTTGACAATCTTTAGTACAGTGTTTTTTTCAAACGGGGTGCGCCGGGAGTATTTTAGTTATCAACAATATATTTTGGAACAACGTCAACGTCAAACAAAGGATCAAGCCCAAATGTATATCACTTTGTGTATTTTGATGAGGAAATAGCGATTCAGAGATAGTAAAGTTAATTTTAATGTGCCCGTACGTATTATGTATATACGAGGGATGGAAAACAAATCCTGTTTGATGAAGTTTGTATTGGGGACCGTGACCCCCCCCCCCCCCCCTCCCCACCCCCACTCCCCCACTCCCCCACTCTCCCTAAACAAAACCAAAAAATAAGGAAAAAAGCCGATCTAATAAACCAAAGACTGGTGCCCCCATGGGCGTAGCTATAGGTGGGGTGTGGGGTGCGACACCCCCACCTATCAGGACATTGTCTGTATAGGATTGCGCTGCCGTCGGGAAAAATGAGAAAGGGGGAGGAAAAAATGATAGGGAAAGGGAAAGAAAAGAAAAGGAAGGAAAGAGAAGAGAAAAAAGGAAGAGAAAAAGAAAAGAGGAAGGAGAGGAAAAAGAGGAAAGAAAAGAAAAGAAAGAAAAGGAGAAAAAGACAGAAAATGAAACAAAAGAAACGGGAGATGAATGAGAGGGGGTAAGAGCCTGAAAGAGGAGGTTGGGAGTTATGAAAGAGTTGCAGTCGCGGATTCAGGGGGCATGTGCCCCCGGTAAAAAAAAAAGGAGGGGGGGGGGGAGGGGAGAAAAGAAAAAAGGGAGAAAAGGAGAAAAAGGAGGTTGAAAAAAAGGAGAGGGAAAAGAAAGAAAAGGGAAGAGAGAAAGAAGAATAAAAGAGGGAGGAGAGAAAAGGCGGAAAAGGAAGAAAGGGGGAAAGACGGAAGAGAAAAAAGGGGGTAAAGGAAACTAATGAGAAGGGAAAAGAAAGAAAGGGGGATGATATTATAAGAAGGTGTTTTTTAACCGGGAAAGGGGCGGGGGAACGCAATTTCGCAGTGTGCATTATGAGGTCCCTCTTGCAAGGCATCCCAAAGAAAACTAGATGGAATTTTGACTGCGCGCAGTCGAAAATGATGCCTCCGCCATAGAGCAATTTAAACAAGTTTGGAGTTTAAATCTCCAGTGGTTCTTGAGATATCATGATAACAATCTCAATGTATGGAATTTCATAAGTTGACCTCTGTGACCCTTGACCTTTGACCTACGTGCTCCAAAATCTAATCAGATTGTCTTCCTATGGTGATACACACTATCATTAAGTTTGAAGTTTAAATCTCCAGTGGTTCTTGAGATATATGGTGATACATACTATCATTAAGTTTGATGTGAAAATTCTCCAGTGGTTCTTGAGATATCGCGATAACGATCTCAATGTATGGAATTTCATAAGTTGACCTCTGTGACCCTTGACCTTTGACCTACGTGCTCCAAAATCTAATCAGATTGTCTTCCTATGGTGATACACACTATCATTAAGTTTGAAGTTTAAATCTCCAGTGGTTCTTGAGATATTATGATAACAATCTCAATTTATGGAATTTCATAAGTTGACCTCTGTGACCCTTGACCTTTGACCTACGTGCTCCAAAATCTAATCAGATCGTCTTCCTATGGTGATACATACTATCCTTAAATTTGAAGTTTTTACATCTCCAGTGGTTCTTGAGATATCATGATAACAATCTCAATGTATGGAATTTCATAAGTTGACCTCTATGACCCTTGACCTTTGACCTACGTGCTCCAAAATGTAATCAGATTGTTTTCCTATAGTGATACACACTATCACTAAGTTTGAAGTTTAAATCTCCAGTGGTTCTTGAGATATCATGATAACAATCTCAATGTATGGAATTTCATAAGTTGACCTCTGTGACCCTTGACCTTTGACATACGTGCTCCAAAATCTAATCAGATCGTCTTCCTATGGTGATACATACTATCCTTAAGTTTGAAGTTTAAATCTCAAATGGTTTTTGAGATATCGCGCTAACAAACTCAATACAAGGAATTTCATTAGTTGACCTCTGTGACCTGTGACCTTTGACCTACGTACTCCACAATCTAATCAGATCGTCTTCCTATGGTGATAAATACTATTCCCGAGTCTTAAGTTTAAATCTTAAATGGTTCTTGAGATATTGTGATAACGGTCAAACGGGACGGACGTACGGACGGACGTACGGACGTAAGGACGGACAACCCGAAAACATGATGCCTCCGGCACCACCTTCGGTGGCGGAGGCATAAAAATGAAAGAGAATTAAACAACGCCGTAGAAGAGAGTTGCGAGAGCATGAGGAATTGCACTTCTTTAAAAAGAATAATGGGATAACAGCCAGAGGTGACCCCCCCCCCCCCCCCCCCCCCCCACTTGTCAGGATATTCCCTGTCGGAAAATGAGAAAAGAGGGAGGGAGAAAATGAGAGGGAAAGGGAAAGAAAAAAAAAAGGACAGGAAAAAAAAAGGAAAGAGAAGAAAAGAAAGAAAGAGAAAAAAAGAAAAAGAAGAAGGAGAGGAAAGAAAGGAAAAGAAAGAAAACAAAACAAAGAGGAGAAAAGGGAAACAAAAGAAACGGGGGATGAAAGAAAGGAGAGGGAGAGGGGGTAAGCACCTTAGAAAAGAGGGGTGGAAAAAAGAGAGAGAGGGGGATGTTGTATGGAGTCATCCCGTCGAGGGGGCAAGAAAGAAACATAGATAATATGTTGTTGTGTCGGTTATTCTTGCTCGATCCTCATTTGCTATGTCAATGCAGAAGTTTGAAGTCGGTGACATGTATTATGTCGGTAGGCTGGCAATTTTCTTTTCCCTACGAACTGTGACTTTTTATCGGACAAAGGAAAATTTTGAAAATTCAAACAATGATTAAGAGTCGGTACAACGAATCGTCTTCTTTCTCTAATAATTTAATGAAACGTCAAAGCTTCCGCGCTCCGCGCGGGAGGGGGGAAACTGAATTCAGATAAGGACTAAGATTCGAAAACAGTATAAACGAATTGTCGTTTTTCTCTAATAATTTAATGAAACGTCATAGCTTTTGCGCTTCGCGCGGGAGGGGTGAAACAAGAATTAAGAGTCGGGAACGGTACAGCGAATTGTCTTCTTTCTCTAATAATTTAATGAAGTTTCAAAGATTAAATAACTTAGTTCCTGGCCCCGGGTTTATAGGGTTGAATTTGTAGACATTGGGACATCCGCATTAATGTATTTGTCGGTAATTGGTGGCTAATTTTGTCGGTAATTGGTGGCTAATTTTGTCGGTAAACGGTGGCCACAGGCGCGTACGCAGGGGGGGGGGGGGGGGGGGGGAGGGGGGAGTTAAACTTATTTTGCTCTGTCGGGTCAGCTGTGTCGGTATTCTCATTCGATCCTATTGTGCTATATCATTGCAGAAGTTTGAACACTTGCTCATCCAACCACATTAACTTTCGCATCCTATCGAGTACCCATTTAACACCTGGGTGGAGAGTGGCAAATTACCGCTGCCAACGGTGTAAACTAATAAATAAAAATTAATCTCTTGCCAATCAATCACTGAATTTAATAGACACCAATCATA